AATGTAGATTAACTAAACGCGTTCATTTTAAACTGGGATTAGGCTGGTGAAACGCACTAGCGGTTAACTCTGACGATCAAGAGTTGAACGAGTTCAGTTGAACCAAGCTTAACCGCCAGTTGGTGAAACTGGCCCATAGTCGTGCAATAAGCATTGCCTTAAGCCGCAACTTAAGCATATGCTTGACAAAGTAAATGCTTCGATTTTGAGATGCATAGTCCCATCTTAAGAATGACAAGTATTCATAGTCAAATAAGATGATCTTATTTGACATTGCCGGTGAACTTATTTGAACGAATTGAGGTTATGATTTTAAGTCAACGTTTTACATGACTTAAGCAATTACTTATTGTCTTTTTATAAATATTTATAATAAAAATGAAAAGATTTTTTGTTAAAAACAATTTAATAATAATTAAAATTTAATAATTTAGAAAAAAGGTTCAAAATTTATAAAATTTTCACGAGAAATAAAAAGTATTTTTTTTCATCGAAATGTTGAAAAAACATTTCGATATGCATCCACACACATACATCCGGAGAATTTGTTCCCCATGTTGAAATATTTATATACGCTATACTTGAAAATTTGTAAAAATAATTGATTCTAAGAAAATCGACACCCTATGAGAGGAAATAAAACTGTTAATATTAAATAATTATTAAAAAATACTATTTTTAAAAATTTTGTAGTTCCAAATGAAAGTTAATTGTTTTACCCCTTTTATATGCACTCTTGGTTCATTGTTTTAGGAAAAATAAGATTTTTTTATAAAAAGTTGCAAAAAAATTCATTTTACAATAACTTTTTTTAAACAAAATTTTTTCTGTCGTTTGTTTGTTAGAGACAATGGCCAAATAAAAATGCTTTTTTTCATTTCGATTATAAAAATACTCCTTATTTTTTGTAAAATTTCACTCATTCTGACTCAATAATTTTTTTTAGAAACAATATAATAATAGTTAAAATAATTTTTTCTATTTTTTAATACAGAAAAATTTAGAATCTAAATATAATATTTCGTGAGGAATAAGAATATTTCAATTTTCATCATTCTGGTAGTCATTTCTTGTATCCTTTTACTTTATAACTTTTATCCTAAAAATATTAAAATATGCATATTTTTCAGTTTTTTTGACCCCCCCTCCTCTCCCTTATCAGATATTTTATGTGCATTAGCGTCATTTTTTCTAATGAATATAAGCTATCTACTATCGCTTATTGGTAGGTACAAGAGAATATTGACGGAAAAAGCCGAACGCTCAATAAGATCATCTTAAGCATTTGCTTGGTCAAGAAGTTCTTAAGCTGCATTTCCTTTACCAAGCAATTGCTTATTTTTGACTATGAATACATACGGTCTTAAGCTCGACTCATTCGAATAAGACCGACTTGATCAAGCAAAGCTTAAGTCCTTGCTTAAGTCGGGACTATGTGTGTTCTGACAGTTGGCCTACCCATGCAGAAATTGAGATTGGAATTTTATGGGGTCCTAGCCAGAATTCCCTATCTGTAGTGGGGAACTGATTAGAGAAAATCGTTAGAACCCAACTACTTTCATAACGGTCGGCAGATGGGGTATAGACTAGAATATCTAGTCGGGAACTAGTATTAAAACTAGCTGTGTGTTGATAGGGCCCCGACTAGAATTTTCTAGTTGACTTTTAAAAATTATTATTTTTCAACTTAACCTATTTATAATTAAATTCTTCATTCATATTAACATTATTAATGAATGTTGTACACGAAAAACCTGAAACTTGAGTTGAAAAATCTCGTGCCCATGGGGGATCGAACCTTGGACCTTGGGGACTCCAGTCGGATACACATACCTCCCGGCCGTGATAGCTTGGAAGCACCTCCGCTTAAATAACATCCCGTGCAGCAATTCACCATTTGCCCCTATCTCTAGTAGGGCTCTCGCTAGATTCTAACTAGAATCTCTAGTCTAGAAAAACTAGTCGGGTTCCAATCAAATTCTAGTTAAATAATTTTTACCAGCATTATTTTTTAAAAAATTTTGCATATTATTTAATTATTTCATTTTTTAACATATTTGAAACCCAATTTTTAATATTGTAGAACATTCTTACATAAAATTCCAATAAAACAATTTTATTAAATAAAAATCTTTTATTTAATAAGTAAATTAAAAGAATAAGACACAAATAAATATTAATTATGTGAGTATAATTAATTTTTATTACCTAAATATTGTAATATTATCCGTAAAAATAATTATTTAAAAATATATGTAAGTGCAATTATACTTTAAAATGTTTTTGACAATTCATAAAAATATTTATTTATAGAAAGACAATTTATGTATATTACTTGTACACTAGTTTGTCGCTAGTTGGAAATCAATAAGGTCCTAGTGAGTTTTTCTAGTCTGAATTATCTAATAATTTCAATTAATAATAATTCTTTATAATCTAATAATAATTTAAATTAAAAAATTATAAAGTTATTAAATTATTTAAATTATTAAAATAATAAATAATAATGTCAATTAATAATAATTCTTTATAATACAAAATTAGTAATAATAATTCTTTAACTAGAATTTGATTGGAAACCGATTAGTTTTTGTAGACTAGAGATTCTAGTCAGAATCTAGCGAGGTTCTAGACAGATTTTTCTAGAGTAGATTTTCTAGGATGGTTCTAATCAGAATCCAACATTTGGTAGGGACAAGTAGGGAAATTTCTACATGGGTAGCTTCAAGTCATTTAAGAAAAAAAAAAAAAAAAAAAAAGTCGGGACTATGAATACCGCTCCAAGACGTTACCGCCAAACAATAATAATTGAAAAACAAATTTAAAGCCATGAAAAAATGAGGGTTAATAATGGTTAAAAATTTGGATTGATTTCGGACTAATACGAAATTTGTCCGAAACAGCGCGGTTTATGGTCAGGTTTTTGAATAATGAAAAAGCCAATTTCGAAATACTTTCAATGCAAAAACATTTAAACAATTTTTTACGAACGTTCCAAAACTCAATTACATATTATTATATGTATTTAAAATTTTTGAATAATATTATTCAAAACTTTAAATTTTTAAAAATGGTAACAAATTAATAATTTTTTATATTTGAATATTATTATACATTTACAACAATTATAGAATTTCAAAGATTTGGTAAGAATTCAATTTTCTTTCAAAAATAAGTTTCGCAGAAAGAATTCAATTATTTTCAAAAATTTTGATATTCAATTATTTAGATGAATTCAGTTATTTTTAATACAATTTAAATTGAATTCTTCAAAAGAATTCAATTAATTTCAAAAATACAATTTTTCGAAAAAAAATTATTTCCAATAAATTTTAATAAAAATTTAATTTAATTATTTTCAGTACAATTTTAATCAAATTCCTTGAAGGAACTTAAAAATTTAAAAAAATTGAATTTAGATTTTGACAAATTTTATTATTATTTTCTATTTTAGACATATTAGTTTCATAAATTAATTTAATTATTTTAAATAAAATTATAATAAAATTTCAATAAAATTTCTCAAAAGAATTTAATTATTTAAAAAATGTCGAAAAAATTAATTTCAATACATTATTAATTGAATTTCTTGCAAGAATTTAATTTATTTTTAAAGTTTTAATGAAAATCTTCGAAACAATTCAATTATTTTCAAACAATTTAATAAAATTCGTCACAAGTATTGAATTATTTTCATAAAGTTATCAAATTCTTCGGAGGGATTTATAATTATTTTTATTAGAATTTTAATACAACTTCTAAATAGAATTTAATTTTTTTTTTAAATTCCAATAAAATTCCTGGAAAGGTTTTTGAATTATTTTCACAAATTTCGATAAAATTCTTCAAAAGAATTCGCAATTAACTTTAGAACAATTTTAATTACATTCGTTGCATTTCTTGAAGGAATTTGATTAATTTCAAACGTTTTTTGTATAAAATTATTTTAAACAATAATTCAATTCTTTTAATTAATTTTAATAAAATTTTCTGCAAGAATTAAATTGTATCAGATTCGAAATTATAAATGTTAAAATATAAGAATAACATTCTTTTAAGAAAAGTGTCAACTTTAAAATTTTTAATGTCTGCTTATTAACTCAAAAATTTGATAAAATAAAATAATTTCTAAATTTTTCTGGGTAACGTAATTTTCAATATTTTTAAAAATATTGAAATTGAAAAAAATATTTCACTCATTTGAACATTTAAAACTTTATTTATCTTTCATTTATTAATATTTGCATTTGAAACCTAGTATTTTGTTACTTTTAACAACAAAAAGAAATTAAAAAATAAGATTTGTAAAAATTTCTAAAAAAGTCTAAATTTAAAGGTTCTTTTAATTTGCTTTCTTAAATTTATGATAATAAGTTTAAAATTTCTGAAAACTGAAAAATGACGTAGTTATAAAAAATTTTATTAGTTTCGTAACCCGAAATTAGAGAGATATTGGAAATTACAGGAAAATAAATTACTGACAAATAGGAAAGAATGTATGTATTAAATTTTCATATTTTATGAAACGTAGTATTTACAGATTCTCACAGTTTATAGGAATAAACACATCTCTGAGGGTTAACAAAAAAAAAAAAACATTTTTTGTTTGTCACATTGCTAAAACTTTTTAAACAAACTTTTTAATAAGCGATTAGTTCGTTAGTATTAATGTATCGACATCAAAAAATATTGTTTCAAAGCTCAAAGCTTAGTTATCTGTGTAATCGTAATTTATGTCTATAAATTTGAACTCGACAATCAACTTAAATTGAATAATTATTATTAAAGTTTAAATTACTATTCAGTACATTCTTGGGAACAAAAGTTTTAACTTCTTTTGATTTTGTACATTCTGAAGACATTCTTCTGTATATTCTTCATCGTAGAAGAAAGACGCTTAACAAATTATACATAAAAAATATTTCCGTTAATTCGGTATAAAAATTACATTTTAGGAACAAACTGCTGAAAATCTCCGCAAATCTATAATAGAGAGATACTGAAAAATAAGTCCGATGTCAGCTCGAGAAATTCGAATTTTGTGACATTTTTGAACCAAACTAAACATTAAGGTAGTGCACTCGTTGATGAACTCTTTTCTTTTCTCTGCAACTTCGACAACTTCGACTACATTATAAAGTAATTCCATGGTAAGTGATCATAGAAATTTGGACACCTTCTTTATATAATCTCTAGAAAATCGCACAAAACTATTAAAGATTGTGTATAATCGAAAACAAAAATAAATAAGAATAAAAAGGAAAAAGTATGAAACTGTTTACATCTTGCAATCAGCAGGGTTGACACAAATATTTAATTTTATTTTTTCCAGATTTCCAGACCTTTTCCTGACTGATTTTGACTTTTTCCTTGACCCTAAAGAATATTCTGATTCACTCTAAAAAATATTAGATACTCAAAAAAATGTTCTATTACATTTATTTGCAAATTTTTTAATTGTAAAATTATTCAAAAACATCAATAACTTATTTTTTAAATAAATATTTAATCATTATTTTTTCCGTAGGAATTAAAATTCTTCAAAACATTCAAATTCAAACCTTTTTGAAATTCAACAATTTATAAGAATATATTATTACAAAACACGAAGAAGGTGATCACTCGACTTTAAAAAAATGTATTAAAATTCAATTATTTAAATTAAAAAGTAAATAATTTATTGAATAATTGAATGTTTGTTAAAATTGAATTTTCATAAAGAATTTTATCAACAAATTTTTAAATAATTGAATCCTTTTGACAAATTTTAATAAAATTTTTAAAAATAATTATACATTTTTCGAAGAATTAATATATATAATTGAATTTCGGAGAAGAATTTTATTACTTTTGAAAATAATTTAATTCTTTCAAACCAATTTTATTCAAGTTTATAAAAAATAATTGAATTCTTGCGAAGAATTTTATTATTTTTATAAATAATTGAATTCTTGCAACGACTTTTATTATTTATAAAAATAATTGAATTCTTGAAAAAAATTTTGTTAAATTTTTTTTAAATAATTGAATTCCTGCGTGAAAGTTTTATTACTTATGAGAATAATTGATTATTTCGAAGAAATTTATTTCAAATTTTGTAAATAATTGAATTCCTGTGATATTTTGTCAAGAACTTTATTGAAATTTTTAAAAATAATTGAATTTCGAAGGAGAATTTCATTATTTATACACTGAGAAAAAAATTTAATTGTTTCAAATAATCGATTAATTGACTATTATCAATTAAATATTTACTTGAATCAAATAATATTTATTGGAGTCAATTAAATGATATTTGAACCAACAATTACAGTATTTGAAGCAAATACCACATTTAATTGACTTGAATAAATATTATTTGATTCAAGTAAATATTTAATTAATAATAGTCAATTAATTGGTTATTTGAATCAAATAAATCTTTTTTCAGTGTAAAGATGATTGAAATTTTGATAATTTTTAAAAATATTTTTGAACATAATTCAAATTCTGTGAAGAATTTTTATAACTTTTAAAAATAATTAAATTTCTGGAATCATTTGTAAAATTTCCAAAATTCAATTTTTTTTAAAGTACTTTTAATTAAATTTTCCTATCAATTTAGTATTTATGAAAATTGTAAAAATTATTCATTAAATAATTTATAAGTCATAATTTTATGATAGGCCTTGAAATATTAAGTTATTTGAAAATAAATTATTGTAAGTTATAGAAAAAATTGAAGCTTTTGTATTAAAATTCGTGGTGATTTCATAGTTTACAAGACAAAGAAATTAGTCTTTAAAATAATATAATTTTTGGAGCGTAGCAGGGTTGGAAAGAACTAATTGAGAGTTTAATTACACATATTTCACGAAATCACAGTTTTATTCCGTTACATTATATGAAAAGTACAATTTTATTTATGATTTGAACACAAGAGACAATCTTACTGAGAGTTAAGAAAGAAAACAATACAATGGAGTACTTTTTATTTTAATATCATATGCAGCTGTAGTATTTAATATGATATTATAGTGATTCACTTAATAATGGAAGAACATATTCTAATTTCAATAAACTTAAGTTTGCTTTTATAAAATACAAAAAATAATTAGGCAAGTGATATTTAAAGTGCCTAAATTTACATTTATACCGGCATTATTTCAGAATACTTTGTTTTTAAGCATCAAGCTTAGTTGACAATGTAATATATGTTGTAGTAATATACATTTGTATATTCGAAGGCAATTATTTATTTACTATCAAATTATTGTTTAATAATTCTAAATGTTGAATTACTTTTGTCAATTTAACAATAAATATATTTTTTATGAACAAGCTGCTGAAAATCTTCGCAAATCTACAATTGACAGATATTTGAAAATTTGATTGACTTCAGCTTTGGAAATTCGAATTTTGTGACATTTTTTAACCAAACTGGACATGAAACTAAAACATTCGTTTATAAATTTGTTTCTAGTTTCTGCTAGTTCGACATTTGCTTTTATAAACTCAGCATACGCTGGAAATTTTTCTTCGGAAGATTCGATTGCTTTTAGAAAGTTCCTGTTGCTTGCGTACTCTGCAAGTTTATCAGCTGATTTGGTTAAAGCATCATAGAAAGTGATATTTAAATCATTGCTTACTTTCGTTTTTCGCATTCTGACCCTCTCCTTCACACATTTCTTTCTCCACATATCAAGTTTGTTGCTTCGGCAAAATTTTAACAAACAAGAATGACGATTTCTGATTATTAACACTAAGCGAGCTACTATCAACTGCAAAACTGTTTTACCCTTATCAGAGTCTGACGAAGTATCCTGTAGATTAACACTAAGAAGATCGGCATAGGTTTTAGAATAATGGATCACAAGTAATTTGGATTTGTAGCTTTTATCATTAGGACTCAATTTAACATCGCAACATGATTTCGAGTCATCGTATTCCATCAAAAGATTCAGTAGTTCCGGCGTACGCTCAAGTAGATAGTGGTCGTTTAATAGTCTTTCTGAAAAGTGTTCGATTTTTTTATCGGATAGATAATTAAATATGCATCTGAGGATTTCGGGACGAAATGCAGAATTATCGGCTTCATTCTTCGGTGTTTGCCCACTTGAACCTTGATTTGGATTATTTTCTTCGACGTTATTAGATGAAACCTTTATTTGAGCTGCGGTTGTTATTAACATGTTTAACCCCGTGTCACTAGTTTCATTGATTGAATACCGAATTAACAACTCTGTGACTTTTGTCAATTTCTTGAATGTTAAAATAGAAGTAGGTCTGCGAAGAAAAATTGATGAAAATATGTCCAAAATCATTACTAATGGTGATCTTTTGCCATTACAGATTATAGTGGGGTCAGCACCGTTTTCTAGGAGATATTTTACAACAGATGGCTTTCCTGCAATTGCTGCAAAATGCAATGGGGTGAGACCATAATCAGTTTGTAAATTAATATCACCTCCTGCTTTCAAGAGAAGCTTTACTAATCCCGGGTGCTCGAGTGTTGCGGCAACGTGAAGAGGAGTTATTACCTTAAATAAGCTATCGACGGGGTAACCAGCTTTTAGAAGATTTTCTAATATTTCTTCATTGCCAGTTTCAGCAGCGATGTAAACTGCCAATTTTTTAGCGAATAGATCGGATTCATATTCGTTTGTTGGTTCGTTTACAATTGCCTTAACAGCTTCCGATTGGCCCGCTCGCACCGAAAAATGAAGCTGCTTCTCTTTACAATGCGCTTTTGCATAGATTGTCGACAACAATTTTACTAAATACTCCCACATGTCATAACGTTTCAAATTAATTACCTCATAAAATATGTCATCTACTGTTTCTGTCTTCACACCAATGTCCACTAAATACTTAAAAATATTCAAGTGATAATTCTTTATACTTGTTTCAAACAAGTTGAGTCTATCCTTATTGATAGTTTCACTGCTTTTTAAACCGTTTTTCATGAGATATTCTAGAATATCCAAACGTCCGGACGATACGGCAAGTTTAAGAGAAGAATCATTATCAGCTGGAACATCGACTTTGTTACATCCATTCACCATGAGCAACTTTACCATTTCAAAATTTCCTTTCCCAACTGCGTGACGAAGAGAAGTCATATTTGTCAAATCGTCATCACTTAAAACAGCACCGTGTTTAAAAAGAACTTCAGCTACCTGAACGTTCCCATTCGTCAATGCAGCGTAAAGAGGTGTTTTACCCTGACTATCTTTTTCCTCAAGAATCGCGCCATTATCTATAAGTTTTTTTGCAAATTCAGAACGATTGTACAAAGCTGCGTAGTGAAGTGGTCGTTCATTCTTAAGATTTCTTGCGTTCACGTTACTCTCTTCTAAAAGAAGTTTGAAAACCTGAGGTTGGTTCCCCATTATCGTCAGATGCAGAGGTGTGTTCCCTGTTTCGTCTCGCTTGGCGGTGAACAATTTTGCTATCTCCGTATGCCCTCTTACAGTCGCTACATGCAGCAATGTCCTGCCACGAATTATTTCCCTCGACGAATGTTTCATGAGTAGAGACTGAACAAGATTTAAGTCTCCATTGTGAACTGCGAGAAACAGTTCATTGTAGTCAGTAGTGTCGATGTAATCATTATCAAGATCCATGGTGACAAATAGGAGAAACTGAATCGAATGTAGTCTACTGTTTCTCTAACGGTGGTTTACAATCTCAATTATAGGAAGTATTATTCTCCACTTACAAATTCTACAACAAAAATTTAAAAAAATGTGTCAGGGCTTCAATGATTTAAATCAACTTGATATAAATCATGATTTTAATGTTGATTTAAATCTTGACATTTAAATTAAACTGCGAAATGCATTAGGAACCGAAAAGGCTGTAAAATTAGTATTTCTGTTTAAAGTTTTGAATTCAAAAAAGTAAAAAAGAATATGTTACAGAGATAATAATATCAGAATATACTAATTATTAGTTTTTGTTTATTTCACAGAAGTTATTGAAAGATGATAAATCAGTATCTTACATTTGAGCAAAGAAGCATTAAATATCAGTATTCTCTTAGAGTTTCCTAAAGTTTTTAAATTTTATTATAACAAGAATATATTATGTAGCTCTTATTCAGAGTGGCCACAAGTTAGGGAAAAACTATGCAAATCAGAGAATTTTTTTAGTCAGAAAAAAATCAGGGAATATTAATTCAGGGTTCCTACAGAATCTGGAAATCATGGAAATCATGGAAATGGTATCGAATTTTAAATTCGGATTTCTGTAGGAATCCTGTAATCGAAAGAAACCACAAATATTAAAAAACTTTGATAAATGTCAATTTGGTTTTTGTATTTATAATATTTAATAAATGATCATTCATTTAAATATAAATTTAACATTTAAATAAATACGGGCATCACAGTACCTTTTATCCTCAAAAAAGGGAAAAGGATCATTTTTTCCCTCAAAAAAAGGACAAAAAATATATACCAATCAACAAATTAAAATGTGTTAAAATTTATATTAACAATGTATTAATACACAAATTTCTTACAGTTTTGGATTCTTTGGTAATAAACTGTGATGCCTGTAAAATAAATACATAAATATAGCCTTTTGCCATCTGCAAACAATCAAACGAAATATTTCGCCATCTTGTATCATTTGTCATTTGACAGATTAACATTTTAAAGTTTAACGGAGCAAGAAGAAACTAAATTTCCATAAATTAAAGTGAGTATTTATGAGATTTGATACCAATTTAACTTTTTCAACAGCTGGTACATGTAAAGGTGAGTGTATTTTAACGTAAACTTGAAAAATACAAATCGGTACACACAAATTACATATGCTCCTATTTGTGAACGAGAAGTAAAATCTATTTATAAAAATACAATTTTTACATTATATAAAAGTAGATATTATTTTAAATAACCTTAATACTCGAATTTTTCAAAAATATTGTTAACTTTCAAATAAACAGACTTTTAATGTATTAAATCATTGGACAAAATTGTCAGTGTCAAAGTGAGTGTTGTTTCTTTGTCAATAGAGCCTTAACATTGAGGTTATTGAGTTCTAACTTTTGTAATTTATTTTAAAAAATCTCAAAACATCATTTTTTATAACCCCGTAGTTAATAATTTAACAATTTAAAATTAATAATATTAAATTATTGCAATAAATTAATAAATTGACTAAAATATTGGAAGTGCACTAATTGGTACACGTCTTTCCACAACTTGGGACAATTAGAATGTAAGCGTTTACAAATTGGTACTTTAACATTTTTTCATAAAAACGCAATATTTTACTATATTTTGACAATAAAAATTTATTTAAAGTTGTATTTGTTTAAAAATTGATATATCTTCTTTACATAAGAAAAAGATTTTTGTAAAAAGAAAATAAAAGGCATTTTTTAACTATTAAATGTAGAGGAAATTTAAGTAGTCTACAAATAGGGACATTTACCTTATAAAAATTAAACAAATTAAAGCAAAAAAAAAGAGAAATGATATCAAAAGCGTCAATTACAGCTTTTACAGCAACGGAAACAACGTGTATTTTGAGGTTATGTTGTGCACCGTAACTATATATAAAGCACATGCGACTTTTTTTGTGTAATTTGTTATTGTTTGTAATATATTGTCTTTACTTATTATCGATATATGTATATTTTTAAAAAATTGAAAAACACTTAATAAATACATAATTAAATTAATTTCGTTTAAAAATACTAACCATGATTAATGCAATATCAACATATCGCTTTTATAAACTCGACGATTTTACATGACGAAACATTAAACTTTAAAATATTTGGATTTTAGAAAACAAGATTTTCTAACTTGTATATTTATTTTATTTTATAATACGTATAACAATTTATAGAACTTGAATTGTAATTGTTGTAAATCAAGAGCATCAAGAGACAATTGACATTTATAACCATAAATCAAAAATGATAAATGTATTAACAGCAGTAGAATGGAAACTTCAGCTGCAAAGTTATAAGAACTATTAAGTACAATTCACAACTTCCAAATTGCAATCATAGATTAGGCCGACCCACAATAGTACAAATATTTGCAAATGTGTGTCAGAATGTATATTGTGCTAATAACAATTCAAACTAAAAACTCGATGAAAATGATATTCCAGAAGCAAAATTAATGTTTGAACAGGTAGAGAAAAATACTGTCTGTCAATTAAAAATATGGTTATAAAGCTGAAGTCAGTGTTTAAAGGGTAAAAAAGTCTATATTGTTTACATGTAAATAAGGTTATGTTATGAACATAACCTTACCCAAAGGTCTCATTTTCGATATACTTGACAATAGTTTTGCAATTACTTCGAATATTTTCATTCCTTATATTTCAATTTCTAAATGTTAAACGGTTTTGGGAAAGAAATAAAGTAATAATTTCCAGTCAAATAAGACTTGCAACGAGCATCACTTTTGCAATTCCCAAAACAATATTTTTTTTGTGCATCAATTTTTTTCCTTTGTGGATTATTTTTCTCAGGGATACTGCTCATATTTAATACACGCTAATTTTTTTTCTACATTCATTAGTAATATTTTTTAATTACTTTTCACTATTGGCACTGTGCATTTTGTACAAAAAGTGCTCGAAACTTTGTCGGAAGTTCTATATATATTCCGCGCTTGCGCAGTACAGATTCCTTAAATGAAAAGGTCTATTGTTTTGGATAGAAAATCTACCAAAATGAATAATTGTACTTGATTGGATTTGAATAGAAATAGGATATGCCCACTAAATTTTCATCTCCTTTTAAAAAATTGTCACGCGACTAATATAAATAAAAATAAAAAAAATTTCAATTTCACCCAAAATTTTTTTATTTTCACCAGAAAAATATTCACTTACAATATCCAAAGAATTTTCACTTCCAAAACATTCTTAATTTTACTTTTGCAAACAAATTTTCAATTTCACGAAAAATATTTTGACTTTTAATTTCAGAAAATACATTTTCATTTTGAATCAAAAACTTTTTACTTTCAATTATCAATTTCACCAAAAATATTTTCACTTTTACTCAAAAAATTTCCACTATGAAATTCACCCAAAATATTTTCACTTTGACTCATTGTTCTATTAAAAAATGTCAGATAGTCTACTATCATACGTATATGAGTATTGACTCATACTGAAGAGAAGTTCGTGAAAAATAGAAAAGAACAATTTTAGACAAACATGTATTTTATTAAACGTTGCATCAATTTGATATCTTATCGCAGTGTATAAGAATAAATTAAGGCCTCACAGAGGTTAAAAAAGAAAAAACTTATTTTTTTATTCAATGTTAAATAACTAAAATTTTTTAAATAACATTTTTAATAAACGTTTAATTAATATTAATAATTACTTTTAATACATTTATCGAAACAAACCCTTAAATCACAATTTCTTTATAGAGGAAGACAGACGCATAAAAAATATACAAAACAAAATATTTGCGCTAATTCAGTATTAAAGTTAGTAGTTAGATCTTAGGAACAAGCTGCTGAAAACCTTCGTAAGTCTACAATTGTGAGATATTGAAATATATGAACCATATCAGCTCGAGAAATTCGAATTTTGTGAGATTTTTTTATCAAATTGAACATTAAGTTATTGCACTCGTTAATGAACTCTTTTCTTTTTTCTGCTATTTCGACATTTGTCTTCAAGAAATCAGCGTAGATCGGGAATTTTGTATCAGAAGATTCGATTGATTTTAAAAAGTCACAGTTGCTCGCGTACATTGCAACCTCATTAGTTGATTTCGTTAGTACAACATAGAAAGTAACGATCATATTTTCATTAATTTTCGTCTTTTTCAAGACCTTTTTCTCCTCTAAACACTTTTCTCGCCAATCATTAAGATCATTGTCTTTGGAATACTCTACCACACCTTGATGATTGTCTTCGGTCAACAAAACTAAACGCGCGACAATTAACTTAAAAAATGCTATTTTCTCCTCTGAGATTTGGTAATCATTATCATCACCTTCAAAGGAGAAATCATTATTTTCAATAGACAAAAGATCACTAATGTTTTTAGAGTAGCAAATTACAATTAATTTGCACTTGTGACTTGTATCCGTATCATAAATTTCCATAGAACAACATGATTTGGAATTGTTATAATCCATCATAAGTTGTAGCAATTCTGGTGAATGACTAAATGAATAAGACTCATTTAGAACTTGCTCAGAAAACATTTGCAATGCTTCATCACTTAGATAACTAGACATACATTTATCGTTACAAATTAGTCCTTTTGGCTCGGAATTAGTGATATTTAACACTTTAATTCCAATTGCCAACAAATATAAGCTCTCAATAGTCTCGGTGTTTGAATAACGAATTAACAACTCCGTTACTTTGGCCAATCTCTCAAACTTAGAAACAGGAATGCTTGTGGGAAACTGACTTGAAGAAAACATGACCACGGCCATTGCTAATGGTGTTTCGCTGCAATTACAGGTTAGAGTGGGATCAGCACCGTTTTCTAGGAGATATTTTACAACAGCTGGCTTTCCTGTTGTTACTGCAAAATGCAATGGAGTGAGACCATGTTCAGTTTGCAAATTAACATCAGCTCCAGCTTTTAGAAGATTCTAATATTTCTTCATTTCCAGTTTCGGCAGCAATGCTATCTAGGGTCCAAGGACCCCTTAAAGTAAAAATTGTCCAGAACGAAAAATTTACATTGGAGTAGGAGAGACAGATATACAGTCTGTTTCTCTTACTCCAATGAAAAAATTTAAGGCCTAAGCACAACTGCTTCGCGAAAGTCGTTCGCGAACGCAAAGTACGAGTTAGAAAAGGACAGAGATATATTTGTGTCCTTTTCTATCTCATGCATCTTGTTCGCGAATCTATTGTGCGTTGGACTTTACGTTTCCTTTCCGTTCCGTTTTGGCCATTATGCAGAAAAATTTAGTTTCATTGTTAAATATTTATCAAAATATATTTTTGACTTATACTTTTTATACATTTTTATGAATATAATTATATTGACAATATCAGAGAGTTGTCGTGTAAGTTTGGAAAATCAGAAAATCTTATCCAAAGTAGGGTAAAAATATCAAATTTTTATTCAACGAAAATTCTAATTTTTAGTGTCGTCGTGGAAAATATTGAAAACCTTAAATTGTTAATAAATTTTCTTTCTTTCCCTTAAAAAATAATTAAAGCCAATCGAAAGTAATGAAATCCTTGAACATTTAGTGATTATACGTGATAGAAACGTGGAGGTATGTACAATAAGCGCCTTTTGGAGTAAATATTTTTAGAAATTAGAAGCAATGACTTCAAGAAAGTTATAAACATTACTTTATTATATGCATTTATTAAAAACTTCATAAAAAATACATTCTTTAAATATATATATATATATATATATATATATATATATATATATATATATATATATATATATACACGGAGAAACTTTTTCTTCTAATATTAAATATATTTGGTTATCTTTATTCTAAAAGTACGTTAGAATGTGAGGATTTTTCGTGCGTTGTGCTAATAATATCAACATTAATACGAAAATATGATAAGTTCGTTATATATTAAGCAACCTTCGGTGTACAAAAATTACTATCTGCGTTAGAAATAGTCATATTTTTCTTTAGAAAAGAATAAAATGCTAGTTTTTGTTTGTGAAATAATACGGTAATTCTAACCTTTTTTCCACATATAGATAGAATATATAAGAGACATTCTAACGTAACATACCAATTTTGGAAGGACTGCGGGCGGACATAACCGATTTCGCCCGAGCATCACCGAGTCCATCACCTGACGTCGCGAACTAACCCTAATGTTTTCGAAGTTGAAATTCACACGTGTATGAAAGAAAAAAACCTTTTATTAATAAACGTGAATGTCTCCTCATGCCAAATTAAATTCAAGAACTGTTCCTCAATATAACATAATTTTTTTCACGACTTTTACTTATTTACATAATTTGATTAGAAAGTTATTTAAAAAAATGCTCTCTCTCGAAGGTACATATTTTTCCACTCGTTTAATATATAAGGACGATTCAGCTGTGTACTTCTAACGAATCGTGCGATCTTTCGGTTTCCGTGACCAATCGTCGTGTCTTTACTTGCGTGTGCGTGTGTGCCCTGCTGGAAGTAAATAGATAGAAACCTTTTCTCTTTTAATCCCTTTCTATTGCTAATATAGAAAGAGATATGAATATTGTATAACTTTTAATCTCTTACCTATACTTCTTTATGCCTTTCTATTCCTACCTTTATCAACTTGTTCGCTATTTCTTTTAATCACCTTTTTTGAATAACTTTTAATAGCCTTTTTAAACCCTTCTATCTCTTTTTATATACAATCTTATTGCAACTTTTTGTTATCCCTTTCAATCACCTTTTCTCTATTACTTTTAAAATCCTGTCTATTTCCTTGTATCTCTTTCAATGTTAGACCTTATAGACACTATTCTTTATACCTATTAATAACCTATTCTCAATACCTTTTAATAACCTGTCTATAAACTTTTATATCTTTTTATGACAGAAGTTCTTGATAATCTTCTTTGTCCACATTTATAACCTTTTCTTAATAACTATTGATATCATATTTATACCCTTCCATCGCTTTTTATGTAGGATCTTATTAACACTTATTTATTCCCATTATTAAGATAGAAATGCGAGACTGCAAAACTTTAAACTTTTTCTATTCCTTTTTATCATTCTTCTTTTCCGAATGGTATTCTTTTTATCTTTTTTCAATCCCATATTCTATCTCCTTACTTCATTTAGAAGAGATATATAGGGATAGACAAGAATATGGGGATTTGAGGAGATATAATAAGTTATCATTCTCTTCTAATCTACTATAGTATATCCCTTTCTATATACATCTTCTTCTTCTTCTTCTTATTATAGTCATGGGTTGAACACAACTCACGACACATTGGCAACGTACTGTGGACTAAAGCCTTGTACATACAGCCATGATCTATCTGAAACATAAGTAACAAGCCGCCTCTCCACCGAGTCCACACCGTACTCGGAGGTAAAGCAGCACACAATCTCCCTCTCTCTCCAACCGTAGTTGAAGAGAGAGAGAGAACGACACAGCACCAATCGAGCGGACTCGTGAACGCATGGAGAGAATTTTAATCAAAAAAAAATAAAAAAAAAAAAAAAAATAAATAAATAAATAAATAAAAAAAATAAAAAAAAAAAAAAAAAAAAAAAAAAAAAAAAAAAAAAAAATTGTAATGATACCTGGTAGAAGAATATAAAAGTTAGACTTTTATATTACAAAGTTTTAAGAATCTAAATATAGGTGATACTAGTCTGAGTGTTGGATTGCTTAAAAACTGAATACTGCAAAATGGAGGAGGGCAATTTAGTGCTTTGGAGAATGATTTTAGTAGTGGTTTCCGATATAAATCAAATTTAGGACAAGCCCAGAGGATATGATCTATATCTTGCATCACATTCGGGTTACAAGAACATCCTGGAGAACTTACAAGGTTCTTCCTGTACATGCTTGCGTTTAAAGAGTAATGGTTACTCCTCATTCTGCCTATAGAGGTTATCCATTCTCTGCGTGAAATAAATGTATGGAACCAGGGTTTGCTTCGGATCTGATAGAAGTTTTTCATGTATAGTATGCCTTTGATTTCGCCAACAGTTTTAAAAAATTCATCACAAGTTTTAGTTAGTTCAATTTTTGGACATGTATAGAAGTCTGAAAAGGGCAGAGCAATGTTGAGTAAGTCTCCATTGTTTGCTGCTTCTTTGGCAATTTCGTCAGCTCGTTCGTTTCCCGAAATTCCCATATGTCCGGGAATCCAGATTAACCAGACTTCTTTGTTTAGATTAGAAAGGGTGGATAGTCTATTTCTAATAAGGAAGATAAGGTTGTTTTTAATATTGGTAGGATTAACAGAGGCAATACTTTGTAAGACACTTAATGAGTCGGAGTAAATAACTGAGTGTTGAAAGTTCTGTGTGAGTATAAAGTCTAGTGTGTATAAGATAGCAATGGCTTCAGTTGAGAAGATTGATGCATGGTTAGGTAGTTTCCAGGAGTTGAAAAAATTGTGAGAGGTACAAACAGAGGAGCATCCGGTTGCAAATTCGGAATCGGAATCCATCTTAGAACCGTCTGTGAAAAAGGATGCATAATTTTGAAATTTATGTTGCGTTAAATCTTTAAAGACTTCAATTCTATATACATACTCATAAAGATATACGCGCATGCGTCGATTTTCCCAGCTGTTATGTGTTATGGCGTCGGGTCAGTAGATCCGTAGATCAGAAAGCGTGTGTTATGCACTGTGCGATTTTACGTTTTTGTTTGAGTTTAACTTTCATATTTTTGTAGTTTATTGTCAATATATTTAACCAATAAATGCTTATCAGTAATAGACAACCAAAATTAGTTTTAAACTCACACAGCACCGAAACTTTTCTAAAAATATATTAAAGATTTACTTGCAAATTTTTTATAGTTAATAGTAATGAATTAGAACAACACGATTAAGAAACTCAATTAACAACAATAGAGAAAGCTTTTAATTGAAATTAATCGATTTCTTCTATAAGGGATATCTCTGTTTTTACTTTCCTGTGGATTAGAAAGGATGTGAAAATGGATAGAGAAAGACAGCAATGTGTGAATAGAAAGAGATAGAAAAGTTCTATCTTCTTTAATTCACCACTTTGCATCCCCAATTTTTTATCTCTTTTTATATATTTTTTCTATATATTTCTATATCTGAAACTGTATATAAAGAGATTAGAAGGGATAAAAAGATATATAAATATAAGGTTATAGAAAGAGATAAACAATTTGTATCTCTTTTAAGTATCCATTTTGCATCTCCAAACTATTATACCTTTTAATCTTTTTTTATCCCCTTTTTTTAATCTCTTTGTATCTCTTTACTTCCAGCAGGGTGCGTTATTAATATAGGTTAGGTTCTTACGTCGTGTTAAATACATTTACCTACAGTTACAGTGACATTCACTAATGCCATCTACCATCAGATCCAAGTATCACTATCGTCTCTATGAGTATCTATAGACAATTAATTTGTTGTGTTTCTTTTTAATTCATGGCTTTCCCAACTTTGCAAAAATTATTATTTTCTTTCTAAAACAACATACTAATTTTCGTTAGTTTCCTTATGAAGAACTGTAAAATATATACTGAATGAGTGTTTTTGATAGTCTCAATAGCAATTTCTATAACCTATGTCGTTTTTCCCTTGAATCTAACCTAACATACTAAAATGTCTCATCAGTTTTAAGAATTAGTGGTATTAAAAGTTTCTCCGTGTATATAACATTACAAATGCAGTACACTGTAAAAAATTTTTGGGGAAAATTCCCCAAAATCTTGGTGACGCAATTTTAACCAAAAAAGGTAAATTTCCACCAAGAAAACTTGGGGACTTTTCCCCAAGAAAACTAGAGGAAATTTCCCTTTAAAATCTTGTGGAATTTTCCCTTTGAAACCTTGGGGAATTTTCCCTTTATAATCTTGGGGAATTTTTCCCAAAAACTCGAGGAATTTTCCCTTAGAAACATTGGGGAATTTTCCCCAAAAACTGGAGGAATTTTCCCTTAGAAATCTTGGGGAATTTTCCCCAAAAAGTGTAGGAATTTTCTATTAGAAATCTTGGGGAATTTTCACCAAAAACTTGAGGAAATTTCCCTTTAAAATCTTGTGGGATTTTCCCTTTGAAACCTTGGGGAATTTTCCCTAAAAACTCGAGGGAATTTCCACTTAAAATCTTGTGGAAATTTTCCTTTGCAACCTTGGGGAATTTTCCCTTTGAAATCTTGGGGAATTTTCTCTAAAAGCTGAGGGAAATTTCCCATTAAAATCTTGTAGAACTTTCCCTTTGTAACCTTGGGGAATTTTCCCTTTTAAGTATTGGTTAATTTTTCCTTTATAATCTTGTTGAATTTTCCCTTTAAAATTATCAGGAATGTTCCGCCTTAAAGCATTAAGATATTTTTACTATAAAATCTTAGAAAATATCCCTGCAATATCTTGAGGAATTTTTTCTTTGAAACCCATGCCAATTTTCTTTCTAAAAGCTTGATGAATTTTTCACAATTATGAAAATTTATTAGTAGGAATAAAAAAATTTCAAACAAATTTTTAAAATACTGTTTATTATATTTCTGTGTGAACAAAAATATTTTCAAAATACTAAAATTAGTTAAGAAAAATTTAGAATTATGTTAATTAAAAGTATTTCCACTGAACTTTACGACATTATCAATCAATTTTTTTGCTTTCGGATCACATACAGTCTTCGGATAATTCTTAGTTTTCCGTTTATTGCCTTCAGGGGGATTGATGTCCAACAACATACTGTAAAAATAAACATTTTTTTATATTATGCAATTAACATAAAAATATTTAAAAATTGTATTAAACAGCAATATATCGACCAAAGACTTTGGCTGTAATAGAAATTGGTTTTTGACTTTTTTTAAACTAATTATTATTTTACATTTAACTTTAGATATGTAATTGAAAAAAATTAATTTTTTATTTTAATTAAAAAATTTAAAATACTCATTTTAATTTGAAGTGAAACATACGACTTTTTTTAACAAAAGATTTTTTTTCAATAAATAGAAAAATGAAAATATATACGAATAAGAAAGAGAAAAATTATATAAAATTAATAAAAAATATTTACCGCTGAATAAATTCGAGTGACGAAGATTGATTTTCGAGGTAATTGTAGCCGAACACATAGTAGGTTAAAATTAAAAGTAGAACTGCTTCTAAGACTGAATTTGATTCTAGCACAATATTTTTTTCTATAACAATTGCGCAAGAACACGTTTCATCGTAGATCGACATTCCTGAAAAAATATAATTTTGTTAAAATGACATAATTTTACAGTTAATTTAAAACTTATTTATGGAAATATATATACCTTTGACGATTAACATTGGCCTAGAAGATTCTTTTATTTCTCTCATTGAATCATCCGAAGTTGTAGCGTCCTAAATAAAACATGAGTAATTTATTTCCATACATTAAATAATATTAACTATAATTTGATATAAAATTCTATTCTTACCACTAAAGTAAAAAGCTCTTGTTCTTTGAAGTGTGATGCGATGATGGGTAGAAAAACGAGACTTTTTGGTTTCTTGCTCTTTAATTGATCTTCAGCTTCACTTGCTTTTTTTAAATGTTCTGCTACTTTTACCACATTTAAGGGAGAATTCTTCTTTCCATTATAAAAAGAGATGTAACTTCGAAAGTAATCATATATTGCAGGTATTTTTAATTCTATGTTACTATTCCAAACCTTTTTTACATCTTTTCCAAGTAGGGTATTTGCGTGGGTAAGGAAGTAAGTTGTTACTTGTAGATGAGGCCAACAGTCTTTTAATACATCCTCCAATTTTAAATCATATTTTTCTCGGTTGTTAATTGATACTCTTTGAGAAGGGTAAGTCTCAGACAGTAACTTTCGCACTCTATCGTCGTCAAATTCATCTCCATGAAAAAGCGAAATTAATAATTGCTTTTTTTCTTTCTGGCTTTCGTTACTTTCGTTTTCTGAAAGTGAGGGCTCGAAAGCCACACAGCCGTATAGGTCTTGATCTTTGCCATATCTCTCTGGACCAAAAAACTTACGTTTGTTACTTGTGCAGTCTGCGACGTCATAATTAAATGTTTTGCGTTTCCTACTATTTGGCTTTATGTATCTAAAAAGTTGTAAATAGAGCATTTATAGTTTCATTTCATAATTAAAATTTTAAAAACTGTTTTAATATTACATCTGTAATATTTAATTTATACTTACTTTATTCTTTCATAAATGCGTGTTTTTAATGAATCCACTCCATCCGAAAAAATTTCCGTTTCATCGTCATTTTTCCATGTGGTATGCTCAAAGGATCTTGGAAAACGTGCAACAGTTTCTTTAGCTACTCGTGTCGCATCTTTAAATTCAATAGCTTTAATGTCCATCATATAATCAGCCAAATTTCTTATTAGTTGCATTGTTTGTGAGACAGAATTATTTTGAATGTTTTTAAAACCTAAAGGTGTTATTTTTTCCCAAACCATAGGAGATATGTAATTTCCAGTTGCTGTCGAATTTTTAGATGAAGGAGTTGAATCTCTAGAAATGCCCCCAGGAGTTGAGGAAATTTCATTTTCTATAATAACAAAAATTTGTTTATTATTAGATCATAATATGTCTTGTGAATATCATTTTCATAGAATTTCGAAGAAGTAAAAATTGTTACCTCTTAAAAAATCAGTATTAGTTGTATTATTTTGAAGAATATTTATAGAAGGTGAAACTGCAGACTCCCAAACTTCATTTGTAGGAAGTATCATAAATTTTGAAGGATAAGCTTTGACGTACGTTGACATACTTTTAAAGCCTTGAAACTCTGCTCCATCTTCATCGAGAACAAACTGTGGGACATAATTTGATTAAATAAGCAAAATTTTGGTAATATATAAATAATATTAAACTATAATATACGTATTTCGATGTTAACGTTGTTTTTCATGAAGAAAGAAAAATATAAATGTATATACCTTGTAAATCTGATTCGGATCAAGATTTAAAGCCTGACAAGATTCGGAAACTAATTCGTCGAAGTTGGAACATGCTACCACTATCGTTTTATCCCTTTTTCTATCAGTGATTTTAAAGACTGCTTCCATATCGTCTCTGTGAATGTAAAAGTAAATTACTAATTGCATTTCTTAATCATTTGTATGGAAGATTTTTAAACTGTTACTCACTGTCAATATAAAAACCAATTGATTATTTTACTTTTGCCATACAGACAGTTATAAGCATTATACGTAAATTATATGTAAGTATTAAATAATTTGTTTTAATTTTATTATAATTTTAAAAATGCATGTGAGTTAATAAACCTATAACTAAAACTATTATGATTTTAAAATTTATAGTGAAGTAGTAACGAGACCATGATTAATTTTTACATATGATGTAGTATTTTCTACATAGATGTGAAGTGGTTCATATGTCATTAAGTTTTTAATTGCAATACATTCGTATCGTAAGCAGTTATCTAGCCTATATAGTCGAAGATGATGTTGAAATGTAGTTTTTAAAATTTCCAATACAAAGTACAAGCATCCTTTGTCATCGCACAATATAATTGCAATTCTTCCCATTTCGACATTTTCCTGATAGGCGGTTTGTCGAACAGCTACAATGCCTCCTTTTTTGTAGTTATATCCTTTTAATTCAGCACTTGCACATTCAGTAAGTGATGAATTTATTTCAGCATTAAATATTGCTTGTTGTATCTCTGCTGAATAACGGAAATTAAAAAAATCAGTTTCTTCATTTAGACGCAGTTCGCACCTCAATCCTGCTCCTGAACGTAAAAGGCTTTGGAGCAATTCATGCTTTTCAGTTAATGATAAAGTAACATTTTTAAAACATTTAATATTTCTCATAACCCTCTTGAAGAAAGTATGTTTACTTTCAAACCGTAATGTAAATAATTTTTTAACAGGACCTAATTGACGTATCACTTCTGGGTAGTGTGTTAAATAGTGATGTTTAGGACGTAGTTTAATTGTTGGAAACAATTTTTTTCTTAATGTTAGGTATTCATTTATAATATCTGCTAAATAGGGTATAAATGACAAATGAATTTGTGGTGCACAAACAATTTCAACTATCTCGGAAAGTTTCAAAAAATATTCCCATACTTCATCATTCGTATCAATTTTATATCCTATATAAAAAGGAAGAAGGCGGATTAAGGTAAGAAGTTGCCACGCGTTACCTACAATTTTTTTTTTTTTTTTTGATATAATGGCAGGTTTATCTCTTTGATCAGTAGGACTGTATTTAAAAGTTTCTATCTTCGAATTTAAAAACTCGTAAGTGAACCAACCTTTAGAAACAAAATAATCCAAAATTAAGCTTAAATCATATGCTGAAATGCCTTCCAGTAAGTCATGCGCCATGCACGGTGGTAGTCCTGAATTGCACACGTGAAAACTTTTCAAAGAATTGAATACAGAATTAAACTTAATACCTTGATAATGTTTTAATTTTTTCAAATTCTTTAACGCATTGAGATAAGAAGTAACAGTTCTTTTTTTATAAGAATACGGTATGTAATCTTTCCTATGTACTTCATTATTGTCTACATTATCATCTTCCTCTTCTTCTGTATCGTCTTCTTCGTCTTCTTCCTCTTCATCATCATTTTCGTCTTCTTCCTTTTCATTATCATTTTCGTCTTCTTCCTCTTCTTCCTCATTTTCGTCTTCTTCCTCTTCTTCCTCATTTTCGTCCTCTTCTTCACAAATTCCATTTTCTTCATTAAGTTCATCTTCGACTACAACTATTTCTTCTTCAGTAGTCTGACTATTATCATCAAATTGTTTTGGTATTTCTCGTTCTTGTTGACATCTATCACATTTATTAAATACAAATTCTTTTCGAGTAATAAGACAAAATCTGCAGAAATATATAGAAATACTAAAATTTTCCTGATACCCGCCTAATCCATGAGCTCCTAAATTATCATTTGCTATGAAAATCACACCAGCTTTGACAATTTTATTTGGAAAGGCTTCAAAACCTTCAGTTTCTAACTTTATTAAATCTTTTACGAGCCTTCCAAAAACTTTTTCATGACAAAATTCTTTTTCTTTACATAATAAAACAAGCTGAATTGAATTCATTTGATACCGCAAATAATCGGGCAAATTTCCCAAAGTAAAATACACAGCTAGAATTTTATGCTTTTTACGTGACGAGCCAATTGGATTTACTACCTCAAAACTATCCGTGTAAAGTATGATCTGAAGAGCTTCAGGATTTTCTAAAAAATATGGATTGGATTTGAACATTAATCCATCTGTGAAGTCTTTAAGAATTTGGGTATCATTTTGAGGTAATTTTAAATTAATATCAAAAGACTTATTTTTGAATAAAGCTTTTAATGTTTCAATAATCGGCACATAATGAAAGTGGGCTTTTTTCCCTCGAATTTTTCCTAAAGACACAAGTTCTGGTTTTACATATGTAAAGTGTTTCTTATAAAATTTCCTTCTTTTATAATTTGTTTCGAAGTTAGACTTGCAAATTTGCAGTGGATCAGTTGAGAAAACTGCTTCAACAATTTTATCTGTTTCATCATTTATAATTAACAGCGATAATTGTTTGTTTAAGTTTTCTTTTAAAACATTAAGTCGTTGATTGTCAATATTTTCTAATTCTTCTATAAAGAATTGAATTGTTGATACAGGAACTAAGAATTGAGCTTCTAATTTTAAATACAGTTGGGCTAAATTGATTTCAAAAAGGTTATTACAAATATGATCATTTATAGAATTACTGGAATTAATATGAATCTCATTTGTATTAATGTCATGATTTGCTAAACTTGTATCTGGATGGTTTTCTTGATCAAAACATTGAGCTATTTCAACATTTTGCATAATAGTTAACTCGGTTGAAGTAGAAAGCGATGAATTTTTGTGCCTTGACAAGTGACTAGTGAAGGAACTAACATTGGAATATTTTTTATTACATACATCATACGGACACTTAACATTTTCTCCGGCTCTAATGTGTTCTTTTAAATGTTTGATAAAAGTCTGGTATCTAAAATGTTCTTTTTGGCAATTGATAACACTGCAAATAAATGTACTATTTTGTTGAACTAATTTTTGAGACATTGTTTCATATAAATTGCAACGTGATTTTAAAGGGTGTTTTTTATTTACATGCATTTTTAAAGATTCTTCTGATTCAAATAACATTTTACAGGCATTATATCCACAATGCTTATATCTGCTGAGATTTCTGTGAAAAGATTGATGGGTGATATGTTTGGAAAGAATCACTGTCTGATGATCACAGAAGCGGCACAGGAACATGATTTCATAAAATATTTAGACCGATTCCTGTGAAATAATTATTACACTACTTTAAAATCAATCTCTATACCTACACAATATTATTTATCTTTTTTAATTTACCCAAATAACACATTAACCCAAGCAAAAATTTATAACTGACGCAGTACTGCGCCAGTACTGGCGGAGTACTGACATTTAACGGGAATGATAACGCTTTTTACGACAAGTTCGATGTTACTAGCGCATTACTGACAACCAGTACTGGCGCAGTACTAGTTCAGTACTGGTAAATTTTTAATTTAATACTGATTCTATCTAAATAACTGTTTTTTTAATAACAATTTTAGCAAATAGAAATGTCAAACACATTCAAATTTGATCCAATGTAAATTATGTCAAACGAAATTTTGATTGTATAAAAATTTGATTTATGGAATTTAATTTAAATGAATCTGATAGTAATTAGTAAAAATTCTCAGAAACAAAAGTTTACACTGAGAAAACAATTTATTTCATTCAAACATAATATTTTGTTTATATCAAACTTTGAATATCTTTGCTATACAGTCAAACATATTTAACATTAATTCAAACATATTTTTTGGTTCATTTTAAAAAAAATATATTTAATTCAAACATATGTTATGGTTGATTATAAATTATTTATAATCAACTTTAAAGTTTGAATCAAACATAAAATTTGTAAACATAGTTTTTGTTTAAATCGAAGCAGAAAATATATTTGAATTAAACATAAGTATTCAAACAAATAATATTTTTGAGTCAAAGCAGTAAATATTTTCTATATATTGGGCTTACAAACTAATTTAAATTAAACAAAATAACTGAAAATAATTTTTCTCTTTGAATTAAGTATAATGTTTTCTCAGTGTAGTTAAAAAAATTTCTGGCACATAAGATTATATTTTTCAAATTTCATCATATGTCTCGTATTTATTTATTATTATTGTTAATCAATCTTGATTAGAAAGTAAAAGATACTTAAATAAAAATTAAATTAAATAGTGAAATAAGACTTTTTTTACTTACTCTCTAAATTTTTTTTAATTAGTAAAAGTGTTTACTAATTTAAATTAGTGACTGACTTTTTGCTTTCGAATTAGTAAATGTTAATAATAAATAGTAATTTCTACTAATTTTTTAGTAAAATTTTCTAATTCAAAAGCAGAAAGTCAGTCACTAATTCAAATAAAAGTAGTAAAAATTTTTATTAATTCAAATTTAGAGAGTACACACAAACATTTCTGCAGTACTGGCGTTAAAAATTGTACCAGTACTGCACCAGTACTGGTTTTCCAGTGTTGTCCTCGCAATACTGGCACAGTACTAGCATAGAACTGGCATACCAGTCTTAAAGGGCAGTACTGGCGTTGCCAGTACTGGTGCAATACTACGCCTGTTATGCACCCTCACTGGAAAAAAATTTAATTGATTCAAATAACCGATTAATTGACTATTATCAATTAAATATTTAATTGAATCAAATAATATTTATTGGATATTTTTTCTATTTGTAGGACCTTAATTTTTATATATATAAACTTTATAAAATTTTGTGGCCTTTGGTCCGTAAAAGTAAGGTGTTGGTTTCAAGAAATAATTTAATTGAAAATAATTTTATTTCTATCTAATGCATTTTCGCTGTTAACACAGCTCATCAGTAACTACAATAAAAATATACCTGTCAGTTTAAGAGTACACATGTAGTTCAAAGTATAATATAGAGAAAAAATATATATCTTACCGCATTTGGAAATTAATAAAAAACAATAAAAATTTGAAATATAAATATTATAAGAAAACATAACCTCAGTCGACAAAAACAATTAAAAAATAATATTTATTATTTTTTAATTGTTTTTTTTAATTATTTTTTAATTGTTTTTTTAAATAATATTTATTATTTTTTAATTGTTTTTATCGACTGAGGTTATGTTTTCTTATAATATTTATATTTATATTTCAAGTTTTAATTGTTTTTTTATTAATTTCCAAATGCGGTAAGATATATATTTTTTCTCTATATTATATTTTGAACTACATGTGTACTCTTAAACTGCCAGGTATATTTTTATTGTAGTTTCTGATGAGCTGTGTTAACAGCGAAAATGCATTAGATAGAAATAAAATTATTTTCAATTAAATTATTTCTTGAAACCAACACCTTACTTTTACGGACCAAAGGCCACAAAATCTTATAAAGTTTATATATAATATTTATTGGAGTCAATTAAATGGTATTTGCTTCAAATTAATCGGTTATTTGAATCAATTAAATTTTTTTCAGTGCAGTGAAAAATATTATTTAAACCAAATATATTTAATTTGAGTTAAATAAACGTATATTTGTCTCAGAACCAACTAGACTTTTTATTTGTTTTAAATAAAAATTTTATTCGACATAAATAAAACATATATTTCAGCCAAATAAATTTTTATTTAAGCCAAATAAAATTTATTTGAAACAAATAAAAACTCTAGTTGGTTCTGAGACAAATATACCATTTCTCTGAGTGTGAATACTGGCATTTGATATAAATTTTTGCTTGTGAATCAAAATAATCAAAATATCTTAAATTGGCAAAGTATTTAAAAAAAATTTTGAAAGAGTCTACCCTTTAAAATAAAAACTTCGGAAATAATTTATGAGAAAATAGTTTCTTATTATTCTACACCCAGAGAAAAAAGTTATTTATTTTAACTAAAAGTGTATATTTAAGAAAAATTTATTTGTTGCAAATAAATATTTTATTTAAAATAAATAAACTAATATTTATTTCAAATAAATGCACTAATTAATCTAAAATAAAGAAATATATTTGCAATTTATGAAATAGTATATTTGTAGCAAATAAAAAATATATTTGATTCAAATAAATGTTTGTTTGACTTATAAGTAGACGCCTGCGCATATTGCATTGCTATAGTAAAACAATAAGATGTTTTGCTTTTAACAGTTTAACGCGTACAATTATAAGAGGTTTATTCATCATGAATAGTTAACAAATTTAATTGATTTAAGTACAGAATTTTTCTTTTTAAGTGAAAATTTTAATTAGTACAAAGTAACAGATTTGTATGTGATTTCATTTACATTTTAGTGTCTTATTTGAGATTTTGTGAGAAAAATGTGACAGTGGACTTTTACATATGAAGTGAAAAAGTAAAGTAAAATGACTAACAATAAAAAAACCTGACTTTATTTAACAAATATTCTTATAAAAATAAACATTTATTTTAATGAATATTAAAAGTTCCATTAGTGATTGTGATTGTTAAATTTATTTGAAGGTTATAAGTGAATTTTAATATTTTAGAATGCTTACAGGATTTATTAAAATGAAAAGTGTTTTTTATTTGTTCTAAATATAAAATATATTTAAAGAAAATATAAAATTTTTTTCATTTAAATAAAAATGGATATTTAAACGAAATATATTAATTCAAATAAAAAATATTATTTGAGCTAAATAAAAGTTTAGTTGGTTCTGTGACAAATATCCTTTTTTATTTGTTTGAAATAAATTTTATTTAATTCAAATAAATCATTTCTCTAGGTGTAATGGAGTGGTTTAACAGATGTGATCCAGGGATTCCCACAATAAACTGACCCTTCAATTGTAATTGCAGGTAACCAGGTATCTTCAAATGGAGGTTAGATATTTCATGCGACTCATAATAAAAGATTGAGGTTTTAGGCTTTTGCAAAAGTTCTATTTTATGACTTTTACTTTTATATAAATGCAACCATTTAAAAAAATAAGATTTTTCCTCACTAATAATTTCGTTTAAGGAAAACGAATGCCATATTACGAGTCATATAAGAGATACTCTATTTGAAAACGACCTCCTCATAAACATTTGCCAATGTAAGGTAATTTTTAAATAATTATTTCTCCTATTTAATAAAATCGAACTATATTTGTATTATTGGTGGTTTAAAAAAAATTTATTTACTTTATAATAGAAAACAGAATTTTTAAAGAAATAATATAAATTATTTAAAAAATTATGTTTGAAAGATAAATATTTTAATTTCATAAAATTTATTGAAAACAAATGTTGCTATGTTAGGTAAGCATATTTTAATTTTTAAAATTCTTTTTACTATTGTAAAGTTAAAAAACTTTTATTTTATAACTAATAATAGTAAATACACCAGACAAAAATATTATTTAAATTAAATATATTTTATTTGAGCTAAATAAACGTATATTTGTCTCAGAACCAACTAGAATTTTTATTTCTTTTAAATAAAAATTTTATTCGACATAAATAAAAATGTATTTGAGACAAATACAATTTTTTTTAAGGAGGTTCTCCGGCTGCTACTCTTGAAAAAATCGATTTTCTTCTAATTTTATTTAAATTTTGAGGAAATGTTTCTTCGAGTGCGCTCTAAATGTGGTAGAAATTTCAGAACCCTTTACCATGTCAAAAAACGAGACATCGTAGTTGGCATTTTTCATATTTTCAAAATAATCGCATGTAGAAGCTGAAGTATAAACTTGAATATTTCAAAATTTAGCATCGCAAAGGGTTCTGAAATTTCTACCACATTTAGAGCGCACTCGAAGAAACATTTCCTCAAAATTTAAATAAAATTGGAAGAAAATCGATTTTTTCAAGAGTAGCAGCCGGAGAACCTCCTTAAGTCAAATAAAATTTATTTGAAACAAATAAAAAGTCTAGTTGGTTCTGTGAAAAATATACCATTTCTCTGGGTGTAAAGTTCGATTTTGTTAAATAGGAGAAATAATTATATAAAACTAACCTTCCATTGGTAATTCTTTATGGCTAGAGGTCTTTTTCAAATAAAATGTCTCATAAATCGAGATAATGTACATATAAGTAATATAAAATTTTTGAATTTATTTTATCCAATACTTTTTATAATTTTTATATTTGTCTTAAATAAAATTTTTATTCGACATACATTAAACATAGGGTAAGTGCACTAGTTTCTGCGGAATTCCAGCCAAGATATCTTTTGTATAAAAAAAAATAGTTATAGCAAAAGAAATAAATTTAAAACTTATTAAACTAATTGTATGTATTCTTAAAAAATTGATACAAAAAATTAATAGCCTATAAAATTATACAATTTAATTAAAATTAAATAATTAAAAAGAATATCAAAAGCATCTAATTTTGCGCACTGAGTCAATTGCTGTAACTAAAATATTTAAAACTAATTAAATTGAATTCTATAAGTTAATTATTATTAATTATTAAATTAATATTATTTGGTAAAATATAAACAACTAACCAAATTTTTTAATAAAACCAAACATTTGTTTAAAATACTTAACAATACTTTTTTCAGTTTAAAAGTATACATACTTATACACATAAATTTTATAAGTACACAGAAAAAACGATAATCTAATTTTAAGAAGCATAATTAAATAGGAGCCATGAATACTACACCCAGAGAAATTGAATATTTGTCTCAGAACCAACTAGACATTTTATTTGTTTCAAATAAATTTTATTTGGCTTAAATAAAAATTTATTTGGCTCAAATATATGTTTTATTTATGTCGAATACAATTTTTATTTAAAACGAATAAAAAGTGTAGTTGGTTCTGAGACAAATATACGTCTTCTTTAACTCAAATAACATATATTTGGTTTAAATAATATTTTTCTCTGGGTGTATGAATAATACAAATATTCATTAAATATATTACACCCAGAGAAAAATTTTATTTAAACCAAATATATTTTATTTGAATTAAAGAAGACGTATATTTGTCTCAGAACAAATTACACTTTTTATTCGTTTTAAATAAAAATTGCATTCGACATAAATAAAACATATATTTGAGCCAAATAAAATGTTACACTTACATTATAATTATATTATATTTTTAAATTTGATTTACCTTTTTTTGTAATCCTTAAATGTCGTTCCAGAATATTATTAAATATTTGCGAATTCACTACACATCCATCACTATATATTCAATAACTTTTAATAGTTTTTTCACTTGCGGTTTTACTCTTCCGAAAGCTGAAGAGCAACTGACGTGTAAAACCAGTTTGTAAGACTTTTCCAAGACAATTTCTGGAAAAATGTCTACATTTTCGTACATTTCTTCCTATATTTCAATAGAAAAAAAATTCCCAAATTTTGAAGCTAAATAAATTTATAAGAAAAAAACGGGTCTTAAGAAACTCGTAAAATACGTCCTCTTGCAACGAGAAACCCATGTTGTTGGGCATCCTAAGACAAACCAGATGTATGACAAACCTTTCAAAACGAGAAAATTCTTCAAAACATTTTATATTTTTGACAAAGAGCAAAAAAATTTTAAGGCCCATGGCATAAATCTTTTACAAAACTTAACTATTTATGACAATGCTTTTTGTTGTAAGTAAAAAAATAGTTCATAATTGTTTGTTGAACATGTTTCAGTAAGAAATTGTTTACCAAAGAACTGATTGTATTTTTAAGAAATACATTCACTATAAATGGAACAAAAAATTTATGTAATTCATACTGAAAGTAGTTTTAATTATATAATTATTCTAATAATTGTAAAATTGAATTAATGTAATTTCTTCTAAGTGCGTCTTCCAGTAAAAACTGCTTTTTAAAATTCTAAATTAGACAATATTCATTTCTCCGAAACATTATTAAAATTAAATAATAAAAAATTTAACTATAATATCTAAATTAACTCATTTTGGAATAATTACACAAAATCTTAGTGAAATTTATTTTTCTTTTTATTTTGTGTATAATTTCATAAAATTTAAAAAAGTTTCTTCAACTTTGTGGAAATTTTCACTAATTTTGGAAAATTTCCACAAAACTTTCAAAAAATAAAATTTTTTACTATTATGAGGAAAATTCCCTAAAATTTTATACAAATTTCCCTATTAGATTGTTGAAATTTTCACTATATTGTGGAAAATTGCACAAAATTGTAGTGAAAATTTTTTCCCCTTCCAATTTGTGGAAAATTCCCTAATGCTTTATCACTTTTCCCCAAGTTTGAAGAAAATTTCACTAATTTGTGGAAAATTCCACAAAATCGTAGTAAAAATACTTTTCCCCATGAATTTGTGAAATATTCCACAAGAAACCTGAGGGAAAATTCCACAAATTTTTTACAGTGTATAAAAATAACAAATTTATGCAATCTTTGAATTTTAAATTAAAAAATATAGGAATTTTTCTAAACCAAAAAGTATAAAACTGATAAGGCTACTTTTAAAACAAAACAATATTAATAGTAATTATTATATACAAATATATTTACATTTTCTATTGAAACACTTTTCAAATGAAAAAATACTGAAAATGTAAAAAAAATAAAGGAAAATAGTGTTTGAATTTTAAATTCCCAAAAAAAGTAACGATTCTTTTTAAAAGGTATAATCATGGAGGAATTTTTGCGCCTTTTTAAATTTTATTTTTTTCACACTCTGAAGCTATACGTCTTTCATTGTAGTGTCTCTCCAGAATCAACAATACCTCGTAAAATTTTGTTTAAATCCAAAGATGAAACTTGATCGAGTTTTGTTTGCAGTTTTGTTATCTCGTTAACTGATAAATTTAATTGTTGCCGTAAGCCTTCGTTTTCTTTTTTAAGATACGAAATGTGTTCGATTAGATACGATTGAGAATTAACTTTATCGTTCTCTTTGGCAATTTTTCTGTCTTCGCCATTTGGATCAATATTTCCCTTATCTGTAGACATTGAGCAATTTTCAATTTTTGATTTTTTGTTCTTCTCTCCTTCCTCCTCTTGTCCGGGTTCGGAAATAGCAGCAAATGAACGTTTCGATGTCGACGGAGTATTTGTTTCGTTGATTTCGCCAGCTGCCGAAGAAACAGATTTTTGACATTCTTTGTTTCCCTTCGATTGCAAAATTAAAAAATAATCTTCATTTTCAATTGAGGATAATATAACGAATGGCACTGACAGGGGCGCATGATTATTCCCTAAATGTCATTTTTCCGAAATGTCATTTTACCGAACTGCACTTTTGCGAATAGTAAATTTTGCGAAAAGACAATTTTGCGAAATGTCACTTTTGCGAATTGTCATTTTTTCGAAAAGCTATTTTTGCGAATTGTCATTTTTTCGAATCGCAATTTTTACGAATTGTCAATTTTCCGAAAAGTCATTTTTGCGAATCGCCATTTTTACGAATTGTCAATTTTCCGAAAAGTCATTTTTGCGAATTGTCATTTTTACGAAAAGACATTTTTGTGAAATGTCATTTTTGCGAAAAGAGATTTTTCTGAAATGTCATTTTTACGATTAGTCATTTTTGCGAAAAGTCATTTTTGCGAATTGACATTTTTGCGTATTGTCATTTTTGAGAAATGTCATTTTTGCGAATTGTCACTTTTGCGATTTGTCAATTTTTCGAAAACTCATTTTTGCGAATTGTCATTTTTACGAAAAGACATTTTTGTGAAATGTCATTTTTGCGAAAAGCTATTTTTGCGAATAGTCATTTTTACGAATTGCCATTTTTGCGAATTGTCAATTTTCCGAAAAGTCATTTTTGCGAATCGACATTTTTACGAATTGTCAAATTTCCGAAAAGTCATTTTTGCGAATTGTCATTTTTGCGAAAAATACAATAGAAACTTGTAGGTATCTATAAATCCACTATTGTATTTTTCGCAAAAATGACAATTCGCAAAAATGACTTTTCGGAAAATTGACAATTCGTAAAAATGGCGATTCGCAAAAATGACTTTTCGGAAAATTGACAATTCGTAAAAATATCGATTCGCAAAAATGACAATTCGCAAAAATAGCTTTTCGCAAAAATAACAATTCGTGAAAATGGCAATTCGTAAAAATGGCGATTCGCAAAAGTAACAATTCGCAAAAGTGACATTTCTTAAAAATGACAATTCGCAAAAATGGCAATTCGTAAAAATGACTTTTCGCAAAAATGGCTTTTCGCAAAAATGACATTTCACAAAAATGTCTTTTCGTAAAAATGACAATTCGCAAAAATGAGTTTTCGAAAAATTGACAAATCGTAAAAATGGCGATTCGCAAAAATGACAATTCGCAAAAATGAGTTTTCGAAAAATTGACAAATCGTAAAAATGGCGACTCGCAAAAATGACTTTTCAGAAAATTGACAATTCGTAAAAATTGCGATTCGCAAAAATGACAATTCGCAAAAATAGATTTTCGTAAAAATGACAATTCGCAAAAGTGACATTTCGCAAAATTGGCTTTTCGCAAAAATGACTATTCGCAAAAGTGCAGTTCGGTAAAATGATATTTCGGAAAAATGACATTTGGGGAATAATCATGCGTCCCGCACTGACAATTTTCCTCCAAAAATAAATCGAAACTTTGCCCTGGAGAACGAAAGAAAATGTTGTGCTTCACAAAAAATTGAATTCGATTCAAATCGCAAAACAACGGGAAAACTAAATTCACTCCACTTATTTATACTTTCAGAATCAAATTCATTGACGATTTTAACAAAAAAGAGAATATTTGGTTTCCCTACTAAAAATAAAATCAGGAATGGTCAGACAAATGGTCAGGCCGCCTGACCACTTTAATCCAGTTTTCTTACGATTCTGGATGGATCTCGTCAGAAATCTATCACAACTGATCAGGAGGAAGTTTAAAGTGGTCACAAGTTTGCTACTATCCCCTCCTCTTTGTTGACCCCGCCCATATTTGGTGACTATTTGAGACCATTTGTATCTCATTTTTGACCATATATTTAAGCCACTTCTGTTTTATTTATTTAAACAATATGCAAAAAGTTGCAACAAATTAATTTTAAAAAATATATTTTATTAATTAATATCAATTTGTTTACATATACGGAACAACTTGAAACTAATTCCCGGAATTAAATTAAAATTTGGACCCTACGGGGATCGAACCCCGACGCATGACCTAACCTAGTACCTAAACTAACTGCCCTAACGACCGCGACTACCGAACCGACTTACATATTTCTGGATTCAACTGTTTATATAAAGAGCAACTGTAAAATAGTAAACTTCAATTACCAATATTATCAATAAATCAGAATAAACTGTTAAATAATTTTTATTAATTAATTATATTTCAATTTAGTCATAATAGGTTATGTGAATTAATAAAAATTAACATTATTAATTGAATGAATAATAAATTAAGTCTTAACTTTACAATTTGGAATGTTTCATAAACTATACTACGAATACAGATTAATAGTAATTATTATTATATCTGTATTTAAAATGAATTTAGTATTTAATATTAATTTAATTTAACATTATAATTTATAATAATAATGAATTATTAATGCAATATTGAAATATTTATAAATTTTAAATTTAAATTATTAATAATCATTATAGTAATAAATTGTTCTATTAATGAATTATAATAATTTAAATTTAACTGTATTTCAATTATAATGCAAATACTTCTTATAATAAGTACTGGTATAGTAAATTACTAATATTATGAAACAAAATTTATTATTAATTAACTATATTAAATAATTACAAGTAAATATACATATATTAAATAAATATATTATATAAATATATTAAATAATGTTAAAAGAATGGTCCGAATGTTTTGATTTATTTACCTACTTTTGCTGTATAATTAATTCAATAATTATACCAATTTGAAAAATGAGAACTTTTGTCAAGTTAAAAGAACAATTTTTATAATAGAATAATGTATTCTGAAATGTAAAAAATAAATTTGAAAGATTTTATATGTATATATAAATTTTCATGAGACTTTATACTAAAATTAGAAAGATGTACCAAAATTTTTATAGGTTATGTGTTCACACATTTCAGAAATAGTCAAGAATTTCAGAAATGGTCAGGAATTTCAGAAATGGTCACAGTTTCGAAAATGGTGGGAGTAAAGTGGGAGGAGCTTGGATATAGTGTTTGGTTAGGAATGGTGAGAAACGTTCGAAAACGTCAGAAGTGGTGAGACTGTTCAGGAATGTTCAGAAATTCTGACCATTCATGACGATTCCTGATTTTATTTTTAGTAGGGAGGGTAAGAATATCAAATTTTTATTCAACGAAAATTCTAATTTTTAGTGTCGTCGTGGAAAATATTGAAAACCTTAAATTGTTAATAAATTTTCTTTCTTTCCTTTAAAAAATAATTAAAGCCAATCGAAAGTAATGAAATCCTTGAACATTTAGTGATTATACGTGATAGAAACGTGGAGGTATGTACAATAAGCGCCTTTTGGAGTAAATATTTTTAGAAATTAGAAGCAATGACTTCAAGAAAGTTATAAACATTACTTTATTATATGCATTTATTAAAAACTTCATAAAAAATACATTCTTTAAATATATATATATATATATATATATATATATATATATATATATATATATATATATATATATATATATATATATATATATATATATATATATATATATATATATATATATATATATATATAACATTACAAATGCAGTATAAAAATAACAAATTTATGCAATCTTTGAATTTTAAATTAAAAAATATAGGAATTTTTCTAAACCAAAAAGTATAAAACTGATAAGGCTACTTTTAAAACAAAACAATATTAATAGTAATTATTATATACAAATATATTTACATTTTCTATTGAAACACTTTTCAAATGAAAAAATACTGAAAATGTAAAAAAAATAAAGGAAAATAGTGTTTGAATTTTAAATTCCCAAAAAAAGTAACGATTCTTTTTAAAAGGTATAATCATGGAGGAATTTTTGCGCCTTTTTAAATTTTATTTTTTTCACACTCTGAAGCTATACGTCTTTCATTGTAGTGTCTCTCCAGAATCAACAATACCTCGTAAAATTTTGTTTAAATCGAAAGATGAAACTTGATCGAGTTTTGTTTGCAGTTTTGTTATCTCGTTAACTGATAAATTTAATTGTTGCCGTAAGCCTTCGTTTTCTTTTTTAAGATACGAAATGTGTTCGATTAGATACGATTGAGAATTAACTTTATCGTTCTCTTTGGCAATTTTTCTGTCTTCGCCATTTGGATCAATATTTCCCTTATCTGTAGACATTGAGCAATTTTCAATTTTTGATTTTTTGTTCTTCTCTCCTTCCTCCTCTTGTCCGGGTTCGGAAATAGCAGCAAATGAACGTTTCGATGTCGACGGAGTATTTGTTTCGTTGATTTCGCCAGCTGCCGAAGAAACAGATTTTTGACATTCTTTGTTTCCCTTCGATTGCAAAATTAAAAAATAATCTTCATTTTCAATGGAGGATAATATAACGAATGGCACTGACAATTTTCCTCCAAAAATAAATCGAAACTTTGCCCTGGAGAACGAAAGAAAATGTTGTGCTTCACAAATAATTGAATTCGATTCAAATCGCAAAACAACGGGAAAACTAAATTCACTCCACTTATTTATACTTTCAGAATCAAATTCATTGACGATTTTAACAAAAAAGAGAATATTTGGTTTTTGATAATTTTCATCTAGAATGTAGTCTTCGTAGGATTTTGACAAATATTCAACAATTAGTTCCTTTTTGTTCGAAATGCAATTTTCACAAAGAGACTTCTTAGAATTGTTCCGTTTTTCAGTTTGAGTGATGACAATTTTTAGCTTTTTTATCTGTGGATTGAGATGTAGGAGAAATTCCCAATAATTTTTTTTTGTAATTACATGATTAGAGGAGAGGGCATCGATATGAATGAGTAATTTTTTTGGAAACTTGTCGTATATTTTCTGTAAGACGTTATTGAGTTTTGAAGCCACGTCCATAAAGTTAATGAGGCCCATTTTCAGTAATCTAGATTCAAGGCACTTTGATTCCATGTCACTTTCTTCGTATGTCGATGTGAGATAACCTTTAATACTTCTTGAAGTCTCTTCTGTAATATTTGGAAAAGTAGAAGACAGAAATTCTAAATTTATATTAAATTCCTCCGCTGTATTCAGAATGTTTAAGTATCGATTAATTAGTTTACAATTCATGCTGTGAATTTTACTCTGAGGATGTTCTTCGCAAAAACTTGCCACTGGACAATGAGGACAATTTGTTAGAGTTTCTTGTTTTGTTTGACGACACACGAAACACACTCGCGCACGAATAAACATTACAAATTCCAATGGACTTATTTCCCTTTCTAATTTGACAACTATTTCTTCGTAAATTACAATTAGCCTTGTTTGCCAATAAGACGTAGGTAAATTTGTAAACTCATCATAAATGTGCGACAATCCCTTTTCAATCAATAATGTTTTGATTACGTTGCAAAAATATTCGTGAACTTGCAAATGCTCTAATCGATGTGCTTCGGAGCAATAGGAAATCATGTTGCATTCACATCTTTTTAAATTGTCCCTCGATTTACAAATATAGCACTCATTGGGCAGAAATCTCTTCATCTTGAAAGAATTCATGTTTTTGAATTTCTTTTCTAAATGTTGATGACGAAATTAATTTTACGAGAACCTGCGAATAGAAATTTCATAAGTGTGAAATTTTAGAGAAAGATATAAGCTAAGCAAAAAATTTGAGGTTATGTTTATAATTTTTGGCGTAAAAAAACAGAAAGAAAATTTTAATTATTAATACAAATTATTTAAATTCAACTCTTCGTTACATCCAAAGTAGTCAATAAAAACTGGTTTCAAATTTAAATATTTGAAAAAGAACTTTTTATCAAGATAAATCCAACACAAACATAACCTATAATTCGTTTGCTTTTATATATAGGTATGTACGTTTCTCTGGGAGCGCGTCACATTATGAATACTTAGAATTTTCAGGAAACATAAGAATAACTTTAAAAATATTAAGTATGTAGAAAAATTTTCTTTTATTTTACTTACAGGTTTTAAACTTTCAATTGTTTATAACAACAATAGAGAAACATCTGACATTTAGTGTTTTTCGTAGTGTTTTTGTTTTGCTTTTTATGCAAACATAGAATAGTTAAATAATTGAGAATCAAAACCAGTACTGATAATTTATACGATATTGGCAGAAAAAAATTTACTAAAAAATGTCAGAAGATCCTTCACACCACTTCACACAAAACTATAAAGGTGTATCTACAATAATATTTAGGGTCCAAGAACCCCTCGGAAAGTAAGAATTTCACACCTCTGCAGCAGCTGAAGTTTCTATTCTATTGCGGATAATACTTTTATGGTTATAAGTGTTTTCGACCTCCTCTTTATTTACAAATCAATTGCACTTAGATACTCATGTAAAATAAATAAATACAAGTTAAAAAGTCTTGGTTTCTGTAATCCAAACATTGTAAAATGCCATCATTAGTTTAATGTTTCGTCCTGGAAAATCTTCGAAATTATAAAAACGATATGCATTGATATTGCATTCTATTGCATTCATCATGGTTAGTATTTTTAATAGAAACTAATTTAATTATGTATTTATTTATTATTTTTATTCATTTCTCGGTATTTTTTTTAACTATATATAGATAATAAGTAAAGTTATAACAATATCACAAAAACTTGATCTGTTATTTTATTTTTGACAGAAGCAAAAAATTTGAGGTTATGTTTTAAATTTTTTGAATTTTTTGAGTAAAAATACAGAAAGAGAATCAATTATTAATTAAAAATTTTTGGTCTTCAAGTCTTCATTATATTCAATATATTTAATGAATATTGGTTTCAAATTCAAATAATTAAAAATGAACTTTTAATCAAGATAAATCTAACTCGAACCCAACCCTGTTTAAAAAATTTGATAGAAATGGAAAGAAAAAAATTTCTTTCCATTTCAATCCTGTTTCTGAATCCAAAATTTTCAAAAATTACAATCAGTTTCAATCACATACTTTTAATAGAAAGTCTATCCAAATCAATACTTTGTCTATCCGAAAATTGTCCCATGTTGTCCCACTGATTTCAAAGAAAGTCTTATCAAATTCTATCAAAATTGATTATTAAAAATTGTTTCCAATCCAATAAGATTTTTTGATTTAAATTCTATCAAATCCTATATCGAAAAATGACAGAAAGTTCTTTCCTATTGTATCCAAGGTGGTTACAATTAAAAACATATGCTTTGAAAAAAAATATTTGTGGAAAAAATAATAAAAGATTCTTATGACCATTAATAACATTATATTCTTAGCACACTCCAAACATTTTAATTAAACTAGAAGAAATAAATTAAAATTTTTACCCTATGGGAATCGAACCCCGCACCTATGACCTATCTATCTAAACGCTTAACGACCGCGGCTACCGAATCGACGTGAGAAATATTTTTCGACCTGTCTATATAAACTGCAACTTTGAAAAACGTAAGTTTATGTAAATATTATAATTTTTGTAAGTACCTATAAAAATACAAGCAGAAATTAAAATATTTATAGAGATTTGCAATATATGCTATTATGTTAAAAATATTAATTAAATATTTAATAAATTTTTGCTTAAATGTCATTTGACTGCTTTGTAATTTTTTGCAAATCTTTGCAAAAAATAACATCAAACAATATAAAAAAATAAAAAACACAGCTCAACTGTGTTAAAAAAATTTCGTTGATTTTCTAAAATGTTAAAACTTTTATGAAAATCTGTAGTTCACAACAAAACAATAAAGGGGCGCATGATTATTCCCCAAATGTCATTTTTCTAAAATGTCATTTTATCGAACTGCACTTTAACGAATACTTATTTTTGCGAAAAGCCAATTTTGCAAAATATCACTTTTGCGAATTGTCATTTTTTCGAAAAGCTATTTTTGCGAATCGTTATTTTTACGAATTGTCAAATTTCCGAAAAGTCATTTTTGCGAATCGCCATTTTTACGATTTGTCAATTTTCCGAAAAGTCATTTTTGCCAATTGTCATTTTTACGAAAAGACATTTTCGAGAAATGTCATTTTTGCGAATTGTCACTTTTGCGAATCGCCATTTTTACGAATTATCAAATTTCCGAAAAGTCATTTTTGCGAAAATTCCTATAGTGAATCTATATATGCATACAAGCAGATTTACTATAGGAATTTTCGCAAAAATGACAATTCGCAAAAATGACTTTTCGGAAAATTGACAATTCGTAAAAATGACAATTCGCAAAAATAGCTTTTCGCAAAAATGACAATTCGTAAAAAATGACTTTTCGCAAAAATGACTATTTGCAAAAGTGCAGTTCGGTAAAATGACATTTGGGGAATAATCATAAAATTTGATAGAATTTGTATCCAAACCTTTTGATAGAGAAATAATGGATTTTCATGTGGAAAGAATTTGATAGATATTCAATCAAAACTCATGGATAGCAAACTATAAGAATTTCCGACTCACAGAATTTGATAGAATTTGTATCCAAATCTTGGATAGAGAAATATTAGATTTTCATTTGGAAAGAATTTGATAGATATTCAATTAAAACTCATGGATAGCAAACTATAAGAATTTCCGACTCATAGAATTTGACAGAATTCGTATCTAAACTCTTGATGAGACGCATGCTTGTTCCCGAAATCTTTTTTGACCAAATAGTTATTTGATATAAAACTATTTAACTTAAAATTCACATAATATGCACATTATTTGACATAAATTTCATTGCACACAAAAACCATTTAACATAAATATTATTTATCATAGAATTCATTAAACAGAAATATTATGTTACATAAAACTCAGATAACTTAATTCCCATTTGACATAAAAATTATGTAACATAAATTTCTATTGACATAAAAATCATTTAACATAAATTTCTTTTGACATAAAATTCATTTAACGTAAATTTTATTTGTTATAAAATTCATTTGACATTAATTTCATTTGGCATAAATGTCATTTAACGTAATTCTCATTCGACATAAATATCATTAGACATAAAATTAGCTTGACATAAATTTCATTTGACGTGAATATCATTTAATATAATTATTATTTAACGTAAAATGAAATTTATATAAATTTCATTTAGCATAAATTCCATTTAACATAATTCTCATTTGGCATAAAATTTACTTGACATAAATTTCATTTGGTATAAATCCCACTTAACATAATTCTCATTTGACATAAAGTTCATTTGACATAAAAGACATTTAACACAATTCTCATTCGTCATAAAAGTCATTCAACAAAATTCTCATTTGACATAAAAATCATTTTACACAAATTACATTTTACATAACAATATCGGCGCGAATTTTAAAAGTAACAAATTAGATATTATCAACAACATTGTGATTCGCCAATTTTGAAATTCGCGCCTATATTTCTATGTCAAATGATCTTTATGTAAAATTAAATCTATGACAACTGAATTTTATGTCAAATGAGAATTATGTGTAATGAGTTATCCGTCAAAAGAAATTTATATTAAATGAACTTTATGTCAAATGAAAATTATGTTAAATGGGATTTATACCAAATGAAATTGATGTCAAATGAATTTTATAACAAATAAAATTTACGTTAAATGAATTTTATGTCAAAAGAAATTTATGTTAAATGATTTTTATGTCAATAGAAATTTATGTTACATAATTTTCATGTCAAATGGGAATTAAGTTATCTGAGTTTTATGTAACATAATATTTCTGTTTAATGAATTCTATGATAAATAATATTTATGTTAAATGGTTTTTGTGTGCAATGAAATTTATGTCAAATAATGTGCATATTATGTGAATTTTAAGTTAAGTAGTTTTATATCAAATAACTATTTGGTCAAAAAAGATTTCGGGAATAAGCATGCGTCTCCTCTTGATAGTAAAATATTGAATTTTAGTATATTATTAACTTTTATAGATAATACATCAAAACTTATGATAGGAATGGATTTAATTTTCTACTTTGGATAGAAGTGGATTGGATTTTCAATATTTGATTAAATTGGATTCGAATTTCAAGGAGTGAAGGAAGAAAATTCTATCAATTCCTATCCATTTTAATAATTTTTTTAAACAGGGAACCTATAATTCGTTTGCTTCTTAGGCACCTATACCTTTCATCGCTTTCATCATTATATCAATATATAAAATGTTTTTAAATTGCTTTTATTATTATAAAGAAAAATTTTTCAATAATTTATATTTCACAAAATAAAAAAAAAGTTATTAACCCGTTGCCTGTTTGCGACCCAACGTTGGGTCGTGAAAAAAGATGGCCCAGACTGTTTGCGACCCAACGTTGGGTCGTGAACGTTTTAGCAAAAAATAGAAATTTGTTGTTTAAATTATAAAATAAATTCTTTTATATCATTATTCACATACTATAGGTATCAATGATACTAGAAAAAATAATAAATAAATAATTGTTTATTATTTTTAAATAATATAACAATTTAAAAGATTTTGATGGACATTTTGGGGCACTAAAATGAGTATTTTTCCAAACAGTGAAGGGGTTAAAATCCGTATTATTCTCAAATTAAACTATAATTTAAAAATATACAAGTTTTGAATAAATGTGAAAGTTGAAATTATTAAATTTATTAATAGAAAAATAAACTTTCTGAAATATTATAAATAATACTATTATTCAGATATATTAAAATAAATAGATTATATTAAAAAAATAAGTATGTTATTGCTTTTTTATATTTTCTTTTTGTTTGATTTAAAAATATTAATAAGAGTTTTAAATAGTTAGTTAGGTAATTAAATTTTAATATAATTAGTAATAGAATAATTATTAAGTTGTAAAAATCATCTAGTGAGAGTTTTCAATTTGCCTATTGGCCCTTAAACAAGTATTTCAATTCTGAAAACTAACACTTTAAGCAGTAAGTCAAGAAAGTCTTACGGAACTATTCCTGAAACGGTAGTGTCCATCAAAGAGGTATTCAAAATAAACATTAAAATTTTATTTAATTCCTTAAACGTGTCGTTTGAATTGTTTTTGAACTTTTACAGTTCTAGCTTGTAAGAAATAAAGATATAAAATTAAATTTTAACCATTATAACTAAAAAAATAATTTTAAATTTATAGTTGTGTGTCACTATATATCCCAACCTTATTGAAAAATTCGGTAAAAATATAAGGAAAGAATTTTCTTCGTGTATTCAGGGTGTCCAGCTACCTTAAAAACCTTAAAATCCTTGAAAAGTACTTGAATTTTTTTTGCTCCTTGAAAACCTTGAATACACCTTGAATTTTGTGACAAAACCTTGAAAAATTAAAATTCTTAAAAATGAGATTTATTTCCTTGAAGTTTTTAAGTTGAATTCTTTTCAATATTTTAATTATCTTTATAAATATAAAAATTCTTCGCCGAAATTCAATTATATTCAGGAACTTTAATCAAATTCATTGCAAAATACAATTATTTTCATAAATAACAATATTCATCAGAAGAATTCAATTATTTTAAAAATTAATTAAATTTTTGGCAGAAATTCAATTATTTTCAAAAAATTTTAAAAATTGTGATCAACAATTCAATTATCTTTAGAAATAAATAACAATAATCTTCGACAAAGTTCAATTATTTTGAGGAATTTTAATAAAATTCATTGCAAAATTCAATTATTTTCGTAAATAATAGTATTCATCACAAGGATTCAAATATTTTCAAATATTTTTAATAAAAATCATAGCAAAATTTCAATTATTTTCAAAAAATTTTCTTACTTCGAGATGGTTTTCAAAATTCTACTATTTTAATAAAATTTCCGAAAAAATTTAATTATTAAACAAAAGTTTTTAAAAAATTCTACACAAACTTTCAATTATTAAAAAAAAATTAATTAAATCAATTAAGGAGGAATGGGACACACATTAAAAAAAGTCAGAAACTCTTCAAATTTTGGGGATGAGTTTCTAATAATATTATAAAACAGCTCACAGAGTTTGAAAATTTTTGTCTGAATAGTTTAAAAGTTATAAATTTATTAATTTAACATTGTCTCTTATGGAAAATTCAAATACTCGGTTCTTATCAAACATAAAAATGATATTTCCAGAAGTCAACTTTTTTTGTCTTAAATATATATTGAAGTTCAATATCTCAGCTTCAATAAATAATTAAACTTTTATATACTTACAGACTAAATAACAAAGAAAATAATTTAAAAAGTAGAAAAATACAAGATTTTTGACATTTGCACATAAAAACATGGCAACGTTGTAAAGAAAAAATTATTGCTGGTAAAGAAGATAACTATTTATCCATTCATAGATACGCATCAGTTTAATATATCTCTCTCACTCACTCCCATAACTATTTCCGTCATGACAGTGCTACCAACGTTTGAAAAACAAAGATATTAGTTTACAACGTTGTCACGTTTTTTAGCTCATTAAAACCATTTATAAATAAATAATTACATTAATAAAAAAATGTACTACCTCATTATGTGCTATAATTTTACAAATGAAATATTTTTCAAGTGTATGTGCATTACATTTACTAATTGATTCGAACTTATTTTTCAACATTTTTCATTTTCTTAGTTTACATCTTAGTACAACCACTTCTAAAAGTTTTGTTTCGTACTGATAAAAAATGTTTATATCTTTTAAAAAACAATATCATTTTAATGTAATTAATGTTTTTCAGTCATAATTAGTTACCATCTTTGTTTCTTAATATTTAAACTTTTCTACATAGCGTTAATTTCAAAATAGAGATTTTCTCTAAACGTCATTAACTTTTTGTCACATTCTTTGTCCCATTCCTCCTTAATTAATTAATTAATCAATTATTTAAAATAGAATTTGCATAATTTTTTTCCGCAAAAAAATTCAATTATTTAAAAACAATTTTGATTGATGTCTCTTAAATCAATGTTCTTTATATTTCTAACATTTTATTAATAAATTGTATTTAAAGTTATTTATGAATAACTTTTGTATGTAGAAATTATAAAATTCTTTATAAGTACTCTCTAAATTTAAATTAGTAAATATGTTTGCTAATTTGAATTAGCGACTGACTTTTTGCTTCGAAATTAGTAAATTTCACTAAAAAAATTAGTAGAAATTATTATTTATTAGTAAAATTTACTAATTCAAAACCAAAAAGTCAGTCACTAAATCAATTATTAATAATTTTTACTAATTCAAATTTAGACAGTAAGTAAAAATTTACTTGAAATGCACTATTATACTCGATTATAAATAATAAATATTTTGAAAATTAGTACCCTAAAAATGGACCTTGAAAAAAATTATTTTGACCTATGACTGATTCAAAAATCTTCATTTTCTTTATTCATAATGAAGTATAATTTCTAAAGTGATTATTGCTTTATAATTCACCATATTTTAATAATAGATTCTCTACCAATAATTTATTTTTTAATTAATAAAATATAAGCAGTTACCCCTAATACAGTCGTACCTTGATCATCTGCATCTGTGTTATCCGAACTGAAAATTATTTTATCCGAACTTTTCCACCACCTTAGACCCTAATTTTCATATTTTTACATTTATGGGTACATTAAGGGTGCATTTTCAACTTTTTGTTATAGAATATTTAAGTGGAGCAATGATTCCTATTTGAATTGCAAATCATCGCCAAAGGAACAGAAAACTACCTCTGAATCTAAATCTTTTATTTGTTGCCATGGATTTTACGAATGATTACAACGACATTTCTGGTTACAATGACCTGTTTCTCGCAGTCCATAATGGAGACTTAAATCTCGTTCATTCTCTGCTCGAGAAATATTCGGCGACAGAAACTATACGTGACAGGACGTTGCTGCATGTTGCGGCTGCAAGAGGTCATGCAGCGATTGCAAAACTGTTCATCCCTAAGCGAGACAGAATTAGAGATACACCACTGCATCTGGCGATTAGGGAGAATCACCCTGAAGTATTCAATCTTCTTCTAGAGGAAAGTAACCTGAATGCAAAAAATTGCTGGAGCCAATATCCACTTCACTATGCAGCCATCTATAATCGCCCTGAATTCGCAAAGGTACTGATAGATAATGGCGCCATTATTAACGTTACTGATCATAATTCACAAACGCCACTTGATGTTGCCTTGGAGGAAGAAAACGTTAAAGTAGCAGAAGTTTTGTTTAAACTTGGTGCTGTTCTAAGTGACAACGATTTAAAATGTGAGGTATCTCTTCGTTCCGCAGTTGGGAAAGGAAATTTTGAAATGGTAAAGCTGCTCATGGCGAACGGATGTAACAAAGTCGATGTTCCAAATGATGATGCTATTTATTCAAAATCTTCTCTTAAACTCGCAGTATCGTCCGGTCGTATGGACATTTTAGAATATCTCTTGAAGAATGGGGTAATAAACAGCGCTACAGTTAATGCGGATGAATTACGTTTATTTTCGGCAATTATTACGGGTTGTGGTAGTTTAACTACTTTCAAATGTTTAGTCGATCTTGGTTTTAAGACGGAAGAGGCAGAACGTATATTTTTTTGTTCAATGGTTCAAAGTTTCCATGACATATGGCGATGTTTATTGACATGTTTCTCAAAGATTAATGCAAACACCATTTTCAAAGAGAAGCAGCTTCATGTTTCAATTCGAATGGGCCAAATGAAATCGGTTAAAGCAATCGTAAACGAACCAGCAAGTGAATATAAATCGGATCCTTTTGCTAAAAAATTAGCTGTTTACATTGCTGCTGAATGTGGCAATGATGAAATATTAGATATTCTTTTAAAAGCTGATTATCCTGTCGATAGTTTATTTAAGAAAACAAGTCCTTTACACGTTGCAGCAACATTCGAGCACCCGAGATTAGTAAAACTTTTCTTGGAAGCTGGAGTTGATGTTAATTTACAAATTCAGTATGGTCTAACGCCTTTACATTTTGCAGCATGTGCAGGGCAGCCAGCAGTAGTCAAATTCCTCCTTGAAAATGGTGCTGATCCCTTCATATCCTGTACGTTTAGTGGTGCACCATTACAAATGTCCTTGAAACTATCTTCACCCATGTTTTCTTCCAGACCTATTTCTCGATCAGTGTTTGAGGGATTGGTAAAAGTGACGGAGACGCTATATCGGTATTCAAAAACCGAAGATGTTAAAAACCTAGTTGGAGATGCAGCTAGAATAAGAGTTTCAAGTATCAATAATTCAAATCCAGAGTCAAATGGACTACCATCGGACCCATGTGGTTCTGAATTTCGTCCCGAAATCGTTAGATGCCTATTTAATTATCTAAGTGATGAATTAGTTGAATATTCTTCAGACGAAGTGTTAGATGATCCGTTTCCATTAGCACATACACCAGAATTGTTGCACCTTCTGATAGATTATAATGATTCCAACTGGTGTTTTCGAATCCGCATAAGTGATGATGAGATCAATTACAAGTGCCAATTGCTCCTAACTAGTTATTCTAGAAACATTGATAATCTTTTAAATACCGCAGAGACCATTAACTTGAATATGGATGATTGCAAAAAGGCCCACATAGAGGGTAAAATAGCTTTTTTAAAGCTGATAGTATCGCGAGTAGTACTGTTAACCTCAAATTGTTATCAACCTTTGATTGCATTTTGTTCAAAGAATGATTTTAATGATTGGCGAAATAAGTGTTTAAAGGAGAAAAGGATAATGCAAAGGACGAAAGTTGGTAAAAATCTGAAATTCACTTTCTATGATATATTGACGAAATCAATTGATAAAGTTACGATGTACACGAGCAACAATGACTTTTCAAAAGCAATCGAATCTTCTAATAAAAAATTTCCGATATATGCTGATTTTTTGAAATCAATTCTCGAAATAGCAGAAAGAAGAAGAAATTTCATCAACGACTGCGTTAGTTTAATGTTTGATTTGGTTCAAAACCGTCAGAAAATTCGAATTTCAAGAGCTGAAATCAATCAGATTTTCAAATATCTCTCAATTGTAGATTTGAGAAGATTTTCAGCGGCTTGTTCCTAAAATGTAATTTTAATACATTTAAAGCAAAGATCAGTTTTTATGTATAATTTGTTATTCATTTTCCTTCTATGGTGAAAAAATTAATGTAATAATATTAATGTTCATTAATGTAATAGAATATAATTTAAATTTTATAAATAAGTATTAAGATCACGTTAATTTCACACTATAAATTTAAAGATGTATATTGAAATTACACCGTTAACTAAGCTTTATGCTTTAAAACAATGTTTGTACGTCGGTATATTTACATTAACAATCTGAACGTTTTTTAAAAGTTTGTTTAAAATATTTTAATAATATGACATTGAATCAAAAATAAGCTTTTTTATCCCTCAGTGAGGCCTTTATTTTTATATTCACTTATGAGAACCTGTAAATAATAATACGTTTTATAAAGTACTTAATACCTTAAAATTGTTCTTTTGTTTTTGTCAGTAATTTGTGTACCTGTGATTTCCAATAACCCTCTCATTTCAGGTATGCTTTAAAATTGTCATATTTTTTAAGGCTTATTCGCTTATTTGATTCTAAAATTTACGATACTTAAATGACAATAGTAATTGTGCTTATTATTGTGTATTACTAAAAATATTAACTTTTCAACTTTTTTTTTATTAACTTTTTATGGGGACAGGTCGAAATTTGACGTTTTCAGCCTTAAAACCGCTTATTTAAGAAAAATTATATCTAATATTAGACTCAAAGGGAACTTTTAAGATTTTGTTTCTAAATTTCTAAATTATCTCTTAACGTTGGAATTGTAAAACAATATGAAAATTATTTATTATTTTTCCTTTACAACATGGAAAAAAAATCAAGTTCTGCTCTACTTATTACTTATTTTTAAAAATGTTAGATTTTTTAAAATTTTAATATTTTTGGATACAATGAATGAAAAACGTTATATAAGAAGTAAGAAGATGCGTCTGAAAAATAAATACAAAATCAAAGAAAAACAGTTTAGTGTCCTAAGATTTTTTTTTAAAGTCAGTGTTAAAAACTTTTTTCTACAAAATTGAAAATGCAAAAACAATACAATTTAATTTTATGAAATGAGTTCTCATAAAGCATCAAAGCCATACTATAAAATTGTTTCAGAAATAATAAAACAAATCACAAATTATCAGACTCATAAAAAGCATCAGATTTGGGGAATAATCATAATGTCTGATGTTTTGTCATGATTCCGCATTATTTTTTTTTTAGTATCTTTATAATGAGAAAGCAATAATAATTTATTTTAATAAGTGATACAAACTTTCTTATTTTTGTTACAGAACATTTAATTGGAGCTGTTTCTCCTATTCGGAATTGTAGATCACTATCAAAGCTGCAGTAAAGTTCACAGGGATTTAATTCTTCAATTTGTTGCCATGGATATTTCGAATGATTACGGCGATACTTCTGACTACAATGAATTGTTTCTCGCAGTCCACAATGGAGAATTGGAACTTGTTCATTCTCTGCTCGAGAAATATTCGACGACTGCATGTGGCGACTGCAAGAGGACATGCGGAGATTGCAAAACTGTTCACCACCAAGCGAGACGGAGATGGTAATACACCGCTGCATTTGGCGATTAGAGAAAACCAGCCGGAGTTATTCAATCTTCATTTAGAAGATAGTAATTTGAACGCAAAAAATCTTGATAATCAAAGTCCACTTCACTATGCAGCTTTATATAATCGCCCTGAATTTGCAGAGTCACTTCTAGATAATGGTGCATTTATTGAGGAAAAAGATAGATATAGAAGAACGCCACTTATGTTGCATTGTCGAAAGAAAACGTTCAAATGGTTGAAATTCTTTTTAAACATGGTGCGCTTTTGAGTGAGAACGATTTAACAAATATGGAACCTCTTCAAAATGCAGTTTTCAGAGAAAAACTTGCAATTGTAAAGTTGCTCATGATGAACGGATGTAACAAAGTCGATATTCCAGTTAAATATGTTTCTTCTCTTAAACTTGCAGTATCGTCCGGTCGTTTGGACATTCTAGAATATCTCATGAAGAATGGAGTAAAAAGCATCGCAACAGTTAAGGAAGATAAACTAGGCTTATTTAGATCAATTATTTTGGAAGGCAGTTTGGATACTTTAAACTTTTTAGTCGATATTGGTATTAAAGTACAGGATTTAGATGATGTATTTAATAGTACATTTTATTTGAGTCGTTATGACATGTGGAAATATTTATTAACAAGTTTGTCGAAAATTAGTGCAAAAACGTATTTTCAAGAAAAACAGCTTCATTTTTCTATTCGAACGGGCCAAGTGGAGACTGTTAAAGAAATGGTAAATGAACCATCAAACGAATATGAATCGAACACTTTTGCCAGAAAATTAGCCGTTTACATTGCTGTTGAAAGTGGCAGTGAAGAAATGTTAAAAATTCTTCTAAACGCTGGTTATCCTGTTACTGACAGTCTGTTTAAATTTATAAGTCCTCTTCACCTTGCAGCAACATTCGAGCACCCGAGACTAGTGAAACTGCTATTGGACGCTGGAGCTAATGTTAATTTACGAACTGAAGATTATCGCCTTACACCACTGCATTTCGCAGCAATGTCAGTGCAGCCAGCTGTAGTTAGATTTCTTCTAAATCATGGTGCTGATCGATCTAAAGCCTCTAAATTCGGTGAATCGCCGTTGGAAACAGCTTTGAAGATTCAGTCAGGCCTGCATCGTACCGTACCTGTTACTCCTTTGGTGTTTGATGAATTGGTAAAAGTGACGGAAATGTTAATTCGGTATTCGAATAGTAAAACTAATGAAAGATTATTTGCACATGCAGTTGGAATAAGAGTTTCATCAAGTATCAATAATTCAAAGCCAGTGTCAAGAAAAATAATGTCGGATATAGGTGATTGTGTATTTCGTCCTGAAATTGTTAGATGCATATGTAATTATTTAAGTAATAAAAAAGTCAAAAGTTGCTCTGAGACAGTTCTAGTTAAAAACAGTTCTTTACTTTTTCACCCACCAGAGTTGTTAGAACTTATGATGGAATGTAATGATTCGAAATCATGTTATTATGTGAAAATAAACTATGCTGACAGAAATTCCAAGAGTCAATTACTTATAATTGGTTACTCTAAAAACGTTGATAATCTCTCAATTGTTGTTTATGAAATTTCTAATTATTATAATGTTTACGACGACGAAGAAGTCTGGAAGAATAAAATTAATTTTATAAAATTGATAGTATGTCGTCTAGTATTGTTAAATACAAAGTGTGATCGAATTGACCTTGAGGAATGTGATTTAATTGATCTTATTGATGTTATTGATTGGGAGAAGAAGTGTATAGAGGAGCAAAGAGTCATGCAAAAGACGAAAGTTAATAAAAATCTGAACTTCACATTCTATGATGTATTAACGAAATCAATTGATGAAGTTGCAATGTACACGAGCAACAATGACTTTTTAAAAGCAATCGAATCTTCTGATAAAAAATTTCCGATCTATGCTGATTTTTTGAAGGTAAATGTCGAAATAGCAGAAAGAAGAAGAAATTTCATCAACGATTGTGTTAATTTATTGTTAAATTTAGTTCAAAACTGCCATAGAATTCGAATTTCTGCAGCTGAAATCAATGAAATTTTCAAATATCTGTCAATTATAGATTTGCGAAGATTTTCAGCAGCTTGTACCTAAAATGTGATTTTAATACGTAATTAGCGAAAATATTTTCTTATGTATTTTTTTACTGTACAAAAAAGATCCCTGAAAAAAACTTCAAATTTAGTGACATGTAACATTAAAATATTTTAGTATAATGTGATATTATATGTAAAAAATATGCTTTTTCATTTTTATCTCCCAGTGAGGCCTTTATTCTCATAGAGAATATACATGTATTTGTTATAATAATATACATTTTATAAAAAATCTGAAACTTTAAACTTGTTTTCATATAATATATTTGTCAGTTATTTCTTTTCCTGTAATTTCTAATAACGTTTTAAGGGGTCACCGATTACGAAACTGCCTTCACATTTTCAAAATTAAAAATGGTGGATCCAATATGGTCGACATTTTGTTTAAAACTTTATACTCCGATTACCTTAATATTACAAATATTGATAAAATTTACCAAATTCCAAAAAATTTCAAAAGATTTTTTAATATTTCAAAATGCATTTTCAAGGAGAGGAATAGTACTTTCAGATGTCGAATCGACCTTTTTGAAAAATTAAATGTTACATATAACCTCAAATATGGTCAAAAAACACAATTTTTGCATTTTTAGATTAGAATCTTATTCAAAAACATGACGTGCTCCAAAAATTTTTGCAATAACTATAATACAGTTCTTACAAATAGGGGTTTAAAAAAGTGTGTTTTTTACCAATTCTGCACCAGAAATTCTTCTTACACAATTTTAAATAGTTTATTAATAATTATTATTCTTAAAATAATAGTGGAACACCCACAGTAAATTCTAAAAATTGTCTTTGAAAAAGATTTATTAAAAATAATTTAATAACATAAAAATATTTTATAGAATTACATATTCCTTTTAAATATAAAAAATAAAACATTAAACGGAATTTAGAAAAGTATTCTTTTATATCGAAATAATAATAATATATATCCATGACAGATATTTACATTTCATTTCAACCTTCTTTCAAATTTTAAATCCTTAAAAATGTTAAAGAGAATAAGAGAAAAAGAATATTTGAATTTTAAATTCAAAAAAGAATATAAATTAGAAGAATCTTTTTTAAAGATATAACCATGGGGGAATTTTTGCGAAATTTCAAAGTTTCCCTTTTTTCACACACGACTAATTCGTATGTCTTTCATTGCAGTGTCTCTTCAAAATCGACAATACCACGTAAAATTTTTTCTAAATCGGAAGAAACTTGATTGAGTTTTGTTTGCAGTTTCGTTACCTCATTAACTGATGAATTTAATTGTTGTCGTAAGCCTTCGTTTTCGTTTTTAAGGTACGAAATGTGTTCGATTAGATATGATTGAGAATTAACTTTATCGTTCCTTTTGGCAAGTTTTCCTTCTTCGACATTTGGATCAAAATTTTCCGCATCGATGGACTTTGAACAATTTTCAGTTTTTGATTTTTTATTCTTCTCTCCTTCCTCCTCGTCTCCAGGTTCAGAAATAGCCACAAATGAACGTTTCGATGACGATGAAGCAGGTGCATTTGTTTTCTTGTTGATTTCGCCAGTTGTCGAACAAACAGATTTTTGAAGTATTTTGTCTCCCTTTGATTGTAAAATTATAAAATAATCTTCATTATCAATTGAGGATAATGTACTGAATGGTGTCTTCAGTTGTCATCGTAAATAAATCGAAACTTTGCTGTAGACGACGAGAGAAAATGTTGTGCTTTACAAAAATTGGAGTTTGATTCGAATTGCAGAATAATGGGACAATTTAATTCACTCCACTTATTTAATCCTTGAGACAGTCTTTGAATATTGATCTCAACATAAAACAGTATGTCCGGTTCTTGATAATTTTCATCCAGCATGTAATCTTCGTAGGATTTTACCGAAGCTTCAAGAATGAAGTTCCTTCCCTCTGAATGACAATTTTTACAAAGAGACGTCTTAAATCCAGATGGATCTGTAATTGTAGTCATGACAATTTTTAATTTCTTTATCCGTGGATAAAGGTGCAAGAGAAATTCCCAAAAATTAACTTTTGCTACTGAATAATAATAGGAAAGGTCATCAATGTGAATTGTCAATTCCTCTGGAATTGTGTCGTTTATTTTTTGTAAAGCGTTATTTATTTTTAAAGCAAAGTCAATAAAATTAATGAGAAAAACCAATCAAAATAATAAACAAACTCCTCCTATTTTCAAAATCAATTTTTCTATTTGTTGGTTAAGTTAAACAAAATGAAGAAAATAATAAATATTTAAAAAATAAAATATAATATAACCTCAACCCCCAAAGAAAAAATGGTTGCTTTAGACCAATTAAAATAATAAACAAACTCCTCCTACTTTCAAAATCAATTTTTCTATTTGTTTATTAAGTTAAACAAAATGAAGAAAAGAATAATATTTTTAAAATAAAACATATAATCCCAGCCCCCTTAGAAAAAATGGATGTTTTAGACCAATCAAAATAATAATCAAACTCCTCCTACATAAAGAAAGAAAATTTTCTATTTGTCGCTTCAGTTAATAAAATATGAAGCGAATATATAAAATTTAAGGTCAACCCTTTACAAAAAATATACTTCTAGCCAATAAAAATAAGATTCAAACTCCTCCTACTTAAAATTAAAGTCTACTATGAACTATATACAAAAATAGATTGAATCTCCTCCTATATTTTTTCGGAAAGGGTTGTGGTTAAATTTCATATTTTTTTAAAGTTTAATATTTTCTCCATTTTGTTCTATTAAACACACATGAGGAAAAATATCTTTCATTCAGAAGGAGGAGTTTAAGTTTTATTTTAATTGGTTTAAAACATCCATTTTTTCTTTTGGGGGTTGGAAAAATATATTTTATTTTTTAAATATTAATTTTTTCTTCATTTTGCGTTTAACTTAATCAACAAATAGAAAAATTGATTTTGAAAATAGGAGGAGTTTGGTTGTTATTTTGATTGGTCTAAATCATCTATTTTTTCTTAGGGGGTTGGGATTATATGTTTAATTTTTTAAATATTAGTTCGATTCTCCATTTTGTTTAACTCAACCAATAAATAAAACATTGCATTTTGAAAATAGGAGGAGTATATTTTTATTGGCCAGAAGTTTTTTTTTCCTAATGGGTTAAGACTAAATGTAACTTTTTAAAAATTAAATATTCCCTTTTCGTATTGTTAAACCAATGAATAAAAAAATTGCTTTCTTTAAGAAGGAGGAGTTTGAATCTTATTTTTATTGGCTAGAAGTATATTTTTTGTAAAGGGTTGACCTTAAATTTTATATATTCGCTTCATATTTTATTAACTGAAGCGATAAATAGAAAATTTTCTTTCTTTATGTAGGAGGAGTTTGATTATTATTTTGATTGGTCTAAAACATCCATTTTTTCTAAGGGGGCTGGGATTATATGTTTTATTTTAAAAATATTATTCTTTTCTTCATTTTGTTTAACTTAATAAACAAATAGAAAAATTGATTTTGAAAATAGGAGGAGTTTGTTTATTATTTTGATTGGTCTAAAGCAACCATTTTTTCTTTGGGGGTTGAGGTTATATGTTTTATTTTTTAAATATTTATTATTTACTTCATTTTGTTTAACTTAACCAACAAATAGAAAAATTAATTTTGAAAATAGGAGGAGTTTGTTTATTATTTTCATTGGTGTGAAGCAACCATTTTTTTTGGGGGGGGGTTGAGGTTATATATAATTATTGATTGATCCTTTCTCCTTGTGAGGTTTTTCCCTCCGTTTCAACGGAATATTATTGTTTTATCATTTGTAATTCCCGGTTCGTCATACCGACAATAGGTGTTGTTGTCGATGACCCTCAGAACAGTAGGAAATCGTGTTGCATTCACAACTTATTAAATTTTCTCTCGATTTGCAAATGTAGCATTCGTTTGGAAAGAATCTGGCACTCTTTGAATAAATATCGCTCATTTTTTGTGTCAAACAATCAGTGTATTTCGAACTGTTTTTCGAATTCTGTAAATAAAAAAAATAGTAAATTAAAAAAGAAGTTATTTTTTAGCTTATTGAATCAGCTGCATACTTATAGCTATACCTAATCAGCGATTTGCCGCTGATTCATATTTAGAGAGCAGGATAATATTTTGGATCCTGTAAAAGATCCTTCAGGGTTTATGTAAACGAACCTTAAAGGACCCCTTCAGGATCCTGTAAAAGAATTTCTCAGCTTGTTAGAATAGAAAATTTTAAAATCGTAAAATTTATTTGATAAATTCGCTTTACTTTAGTAAAAATTATCAACTTTATTTTTTCTTTTCACATTATCTTTATTTTATGTCATATTGTATATCAAGAATATAAGACGATACGTAAAGGGTATAAATATAAGCTTCACTTTTGAGAGAAACCTCACTTGCTGTTCTTAAATTGTGTACTATTATTTTAAAACTGTGCAACAAATAATACATTTAAAACTTCAATATATATAGAATATATAAGTTTTACTTGAAAATGGGTTGGGGAAAAAGCTATTTCTTGCTACATACTATGCTGTGAGTAACATACTGTACATTTAATCATTTTTTAAAAATAAATTTACTTATTAGTCGTAATTTTTATTATTTCCACAAACTTAGGGGATCCCACTTATCGACATTGCAGATCTAGAATGGTTAAAAATGTGCAACGACCGTTTCTTGAAAAATATAAGGAATTATGACCTATAAATTTGTGAAAGTCATTTTTTATTATAAATACATAGGATGAGTATTTTATTTGTTGTAATTATTAAAAAAAATTATTGTTAGAAAGTTAAATATGGGCAGTTCCCCTGTAACAAATCTTTGACTACTAGCTCAAACTGCAACGACCATTTCTCGAAACTGCCCATATTTAATTTTCTAATAATATATTTTTTTTAATAAATACAACAAATAAAATACTCATCCTGTGTATTTATGATAAAAAATGAGTTTTCCAAATTTACAGGTAATATTATCTTATATTTTCCAAGAAACGGTCGTTGCAAATTTTTAACCATTTTAGATCTGCAATGTCGATAAGGGGGATCCCCGGATTCAGCCAAAGTATGAACTCAACGAATCAAACAAGAGCACGCGGAGTTTGCGCATAAAACTCATATGTGCTCGTAACACTGCTTGCTTCTGCCCTCTACTGGCGACTTGCACTATGTACCGATTGTGTACCGCATTGAAAGCAGCCTACGCCGCATTGGACTCATATTTGACAGTTCAACTTACCTTCTTTTCTTAAAATTTCATTTCTACACT